CAGTATCCGCAGGGGAAAATAAGGGTTTGGGTTGCAGCTGGAGGGTCACGCTGAGACCCTAATCTATACGGATGAGTGACTCTCGCCATAGTGTACGCGACATGTACAATCTAGATCTATGCCAAGACCTATGTCAAGCAAGTCAAGCAAGTCTCAATCTACGGCTTGACTTGATTACTCATAAAAACCTGGCCGACTTGACTTGGTGACTAACCGCATTTGGATCAAGTCAAGCAAGTCAAGCAAGCCGGACTTGCTTGTGGCCACCTCTGCCGTACATCAATCGGACGTGTGCTACTCGCACGGAATCGCGAGCAGAAGTTGCCCACAAAATGAAGCCGATACGCGACATGACTTCAAAGGACAACTACTCTCGATTGATGGATCTCCCTTCCGAGCTATTAGCGCAGATCGTGTGCATGCGTCTAGACATCGCCTCAATTTTGCGACTAGCCTGTGTCTGCCAGCGATCGAGAACTGTCTAGCAGGATAACACTGCATCAATGTCTGCTCGATTCTCTCGTTTACACGCTCGGGGCTCATGGGAGTAGTTGCACTGTCGAGGCTGGAGGCTGAGGTCACATTGCATGACTCAACAGCGGAAGTTGGCATTGATGCCGATGTACGCTCCCAACCACCAGTGATGGAACGCTTTACCTTTGCAGTGTCGGTCATCAGCGGCGAGTACGCGGCTAAAGTCGCACTGGCGAATCGTGCTTTGCGACAGAGATAAGGCTGACAAGTCACGGGCTGAAGCTGGAAATCTGGTCTTGAAATGCTCGCCGTCATTGCTATCTGAATGCCCTCGTCCAAAAAATGTCGCAATGTGATGAAGTATGGCACCCATCCTATGAGAGCACCATCCCGGCCAAATCTCCCCAGTTTCCAGATCGATCTCTATAGTGCCTCAAATTGACGTCGCCCATTCAAGGAATGCCTGCCGAAAACCTTTCGCAACAAACAACTGAAAGTGGCGAGTTCTGCTGTAGGTACTAGGTGAGGTTGATTCCATGGATTATCTCTTGGTGTATCCCGAGAACGGGGATGTCGATACGGCAAAATTGAAGCGCAGATGTATCATATCTCAATTTCGAAATACAACTGATCGGAGCTTGTCGGAAGCCTGTCCTTATCAATCTAAGAATATGTCACCCCTGTCTTCATCAAGCCAAGAATATGTCATCATCGCCCTGTGCCTTATTGTCGGACCAATCAGCAATATGAACGTGGTGGTACATTGTATCATCACCACGTAGAAGCTGCATGTACCGACTCACCGGTCGAAGCAGATGGTCCACCGGTCGAAGCAAAGGTGCGGGGAAAGCGCCACGATTGTATCGTGATGATAAGGCTCAACGTGATGTGCTCCATGACACTTCACATATCTCCTATTTCCCATGCAGCTATAAGTACCCTCTAGATGCCGCAATTATTCCATCTGGTCGGAATGCAGTTCAACCTATCTCCACCATGGCAGCGATGGAGCGCACATTCCTTCCAGCGAGCATTTACAACACTCTTCCAAATATTCGCCAAGTCTTTGATGTTCCAGAGGACAACAAACTCGACATAGCGGATCTAAAAGATTTACTCGACAAACATGGCGTCAGTAAACAAGTACGGATCAAGCTGATCCACATTCACTTCAAACTCAAGGATGGCGAGGTGTTCGCAGCCCGCGACGTACAAGTTCCCAACATTGGGCCCGTCAAGATGATGTCACCGGTTGTGCCAAATGAGGGAGCACAGCTCTACGGGTATCATTACTTTGTGAATGATGACGGCAAGTTGGCAGCGTACGAGTACATGAGTGCACCTGGCCCTAGCCTCGCCGGCCACGGGGCATTTCTAGAAGAGTTCTGTCACATCGTGAAGGGTCGTGGCTTACAGCACAAGCTTGGGTTGTCCCTACGATCCGGAGAAAACATGAAGTCCACACGGGAGCTCGAATTCGCTGCTGCACGGACTTGTATCGACGTGCCATACGACGTTGAGTTCCCACGCAGCGAATATGTCGCAACGCACGACACTACGACCGAATTTTCGCGCATAGACCCAGAAGAACCAGCAACAAGACATTCCCATCACAAACATTGCAGGCATTGCAAGTATTCGAAAGCGGCTCGCCTTCCCAGGCCGATGTCGGGAACAGAGCTGGGTGACGTCAATCTCGCCGACGAAGATGATGAGGGACTCAATGTCAGCTTTGATCTGCCGCGCAAAATTGACCTTGCTGGAATGCCAGTCGCGCCATCGTCGGACCTGTTCGGTGTAGTCTCGTATGTTGCGGACATAGTATGTGCGTAGACTATATCCTTTGGCCTGAGCTTAGCGTCGCATGTCGCCAGGTTGCAATTCGATCAATAAAAACTGTTTCCGAATTGGATTGTTGAACGTTTCTCACTCTACAACAGACCTTGTTGTAAACATGCATTCGGCCCCCCTCTGTAGAATGCTCCTTATAGCGAAAACTATCAAGATTCTTGAGAGGTGAGAGGTGCCGTTGCATTCCGATCGCTGAGAAGTGGGATCCGAGAAGTGGGATCAGAGAAGTGGGATCCGAGTATGGAGGTCGAGTATTGATTCTGTGAAGGCGACCGTTAGGCTCGGCACAAGCAGGGCTATGACTGACTATCTCTCCTTAACTCTGATGTCTGTGACTTATTGATGCAACAGACTGTGTCACTCCGGTGATCAATATACCGAATTCGCGTCGTATACTCATGCCCACCAGGAACACAATCGCGAACAGTCTCATCGTTTCGATCCCAGCCTTCTGGTCACATCCTGCTGAGATCCTCATGGAATGGCAACAGCACACCAGTTCAAGTTCAGGACTCAGAAACCTGCCTTGCTCGTATGAGTCAACAAGAGTGTTGATAGCCAGTTGAAATCTTGGCCAGGGAATAGCTTCATGGGCGCATGTTTTCCATGGTCGGCTGTTGGCGATGACGCTGTAAGCCGGCACCAACTTGCTCATCTGGAACAAGCTCATCTGTGATCTATAGGTATTACAAAAAGCCATTTCTGTCACATACGGCCACAGGCAGCTGAGAACAAGGGATCCCGTCCGCTCTCCCATATTTAAGCAGCTGACCGCGAGATTAGTACTACGGTGGGTGACCACGTGGGAATCCCTCGTGCTGTATGTTTTGCACCTTTTTGCTCTTTCTGCTCTCGGTAAACATTTGTGTTCATCAGTCCGCTCTCCCATGGTTTCTCAAAATGGCACGTCCTTTGCCTATATGTCTATTGTTCACTTCCGAGATGCTGCCATCTATCGAATATTGCCATCGTGGTTCGTGCGGACACTCTTATCCTGGTAATTTTTAGATCCGAACTCCGAGAAACCTGAGGTACCTTAGTGCTTTGTCTTCTACACCACTAAGGAGACGTCACTTTGAAAATCTGCAGACCATGAGTCGCAATCACGTGATAACCGACGTAATCCATGGATGATGTTGATATACCCCTAGCCACCTGATGGCATGCGTACGCGCTGGCATGTTTTTGTCTGCGTCCCCACAGCCCTCAGCGCCAGGATCTACGTGGTATGGTGTAGGCAAAGTCCTTCTTCTCGATTGTTGGCTCGCATCGTTCGCAGGGTTTAAAGATATATTTAAAAGATGCAAGCAGCATTTTGGGGAGCCCGGCCGAACCCCACGTAAGCGCTTGTTGGCTGAGACCTAACACGCCTGGACTGCCACAGAACTGCTTGTCCAAAATACAAGACTCCCTCCCTATTGACCCGCGGCGTGAGCGACGTCCAAGGTTGCCTGACCTCTTAGAATCCTTAAGATTACATAGTACGTCATCGAGGACCTGCGAATCAACAGCCATTTAGGATCCTCTTACCATCTTACCTTCAATGCCAAGTCACATGTGAGCAGCATATCCACGGGGAAAGATCGAGGATTTGCGATCTGAGGTGAGAATGCGCAACTCTCGTTCTAGAGGCAACATCAACGAGAGGCTCCCAGCAACGGTCCGAAACAGAGACCAAAGTCGACTGAAGCGATGGCGTTCCTCTCTCACTCCATACCTTGGCACACTCTCTCCTCGATGTTCGAGTATGCTGAATGCAAAAATCCAGGACCCCAGTACCCGGATGTGTTCGTGATTGCGCAGAAGGCACAGTGCAAGCAAGTCGAACATTTTCTCACGAGCCTCCAGAATGACATTCGTGAGCACTCCAAAATCGAGCGTGCCCGGTTCCGATCTCCTCGACAATATCGACATCAACCACGAGACTGGACCGACTCTTTTCAAATAGGAAGAACAGAGACCATCGCACATCATTCCGGAGGAGCTCCCTACGTCCAGACGCTCCAAGAGTATAATGCTGAATTGCGCCAGCGGATCTCTGGGAAGTGGGGAAACAATCATCTTGAGGATCAGCAAGATTCACCTGGTGATCGGGCGGCAGAATCCACGAATTCGGGACCATCTGCTTCGGGCGTTGCCCAGGGACTCAAATTCCGTCCCGAAAGCTTCGCTCATGACGAGGCCTGGTCTGCAATGGCACAAGATGCTCTGTGGCGCAATCTCCCCACTGGCCAGGACGACCAGGGCTGGCTCAAGACAAGGAATGTGAACGATCTTCTGCAGTTCCTCTGTGTTGACGCAGCTACTACGACCGACCTCAAACGCCGGACGCATCTGATCGACGCCATCTTCCTCCGTATCCATCGTCCGACAGCTGAAGAATACGCGCCAGATGGGACCCAATTACCTTATCCTCGGGGTCTCATTGCAGAGGCTCTCGCACCAATGGTAGAGCGGGTGTCCTTGGCATTCGTCTACGTGAATATCCTCGCGTCCATGATTGCTGGCAACCACGCTCACCCGCTGTTGAGGGAAACGCATCAGATCGCACGCCATCCGTGCAACAATCCCGCGAAAGCCTTTTCGCCTCGGATTCCGCGACCCGCATATATGAACACCAGGAGCTTCTGCAATATGCGCGCGAAAGTTTACGAAGAACACGGCGCGTTCGTGCAGGATTACCTCCTGAGCCCCATGCTCGCGCCTCATATCGGTGGTCAGCGCCCAAGGTTTGCGTATGGTCTCTCATCGAAAGACGGCAGTCCCCCGCAGGAGGGTGACATATTCGAGGATTCCGTCCGGCTCCGAGACGATGTGAAGAGCATGTGGAAAGTCTTGATCTCATGCGATATGTTCTTTCGGGAATGTGGCATGCAGCTTGACTGGGAATACATGATCAAATGTGCTCTATTCACACTCTTCCCCGAGAACATTGGGGCGCCGCAGTTGCTGGGGCTGCGTGGTCCAGCCTGTTATCCATATCGCTATACCAGTCGGGGGCGTGCGATATTAGAAGTTCCATATCCCTCAAAACCATAAACGCATGACGATTTTGACTTATCTTAGAACTCTAATTCATAATCTTCATCTGAATAAATGTCCTTGAGTAGTTGACCTTGAGACTGGGCTTAATGACAGAATCGGACAAAAATAGTATGTGGGCAAAAACCAATGGGTCTCAGCGACTTTCACAACTCTATATACCTGTTTGCATAACTTACATGGTATGAAGCCCAACTCTTCACTGGCGCAAGAGGACATCATGTTTCTTAGGTGTCTGTACAAGATAAACTGTGGTCCAGACGAGCATTTCAATACGATACCGGCGTAGATAAAACATGATGTGAATCGTCTTCCAGTGCGTGTGTAGCCCCTGTTGACTAGACGCGACGTTGATTGCATATTGCAATAGTTGGACTGATGGACGTCAAGCCTCGGGTTTCTTTCCTCGAGGTGAGCCGGGAAGAGCAGATCGAGTCGACCACATCACGCCAAAGTAGAGAGGCTTGGGTCACAGATGGAACACAATGACTTCCGTTGACAGGACAAACCCAGACAGACGATGATCGATGACGTAAAGGCCATCTTCTAGACCTGCTCCACCACTCGAAATTCCGCTACAGGAGGTGCTCCGTTCTCGCCGAGCGGGTCATCGTACCAATTGATCCGTTCGATCCGAGAGAAAACATAGTCATCCAGGATGCCGTGGAAAACCCATCTGCGTGAGCGATCCCATGTGTAATACGTCTTGGCCGAATTTACTATCCCTGGATGAATTCGAGCGACATCTTCGTCCAACTGGTTGCGGTCCATTCACCACGAGAAGTAGCCTCGGAAAGAGAGCCTCTTCGAAGATATTGGTCAGCTGGCTTGATCGGTTTGAACAATCGCGTATCACTGCAAATGGTCAACGTCCACGCACAGGTAGTGAGCCATTCACGTTCAGTTTGTAACGGCTCGGAAAGTTTCTCTCGTAGTCTTTCATTGCAACTTTTTCTCTCTTTTTATCACCGCGTCGATGTCTATTACCCATACTTGCAGATTCAGCGACGTAGTCTTCAAGACGATGGCCTGAGCCATTATTGAACGCTTTTCTTTGATCTTATTGTGCCTGGTACAACGAGCACGTTGAATAGGATACTGTTGCTGCGAGTCTCAGGCATGTGCAGAAATTGGTACGCTCAGGTGTGATCTGCGACGAGAATGTCAGTCGTCCTCAGACTCGTAACTTATTGGCAATGAATGATCAATGCTCAGCAATGTGGCTCACAAAAATTGCGACGGACGGAAGTGGCGTTGCTTCACGGTCCTACTTTGATGGGTTTCCAACCACGAGCCAGTAACGATAAGTTTTGATCAAGTGACTCATGTGCAACGCTGCGTGCTGTTACTGCTTTCTTCAGCGCGACTCGCAACACATTAAGTAGTCGTGGACATTACATCGTATCCTCATCTGACACGAATACCATCGAATTTTGTTAAGATATGGATTCGTACATAGCAACACCACAACGCAATGAAATACAGGGCCTCATCTCGATAATTAGAGTACACCGACGACATTTCCGAACCAGTCCATAATCCTTTGATTTGCATATATCAAGGCACCGCTTTGACAGTGCGCCGATGCTGCATCCGCTTCATCAAAGACGGCGAGGGTGGCTTTTGGTCCGACTGCTTCGGCGACCTTCGCAGGCTGGCCTTCGAAGAACAGGTCATCCACGGCATCCCCAACGAACGTTGGACACGTGATCTTCTCCGCAATGCCGCCTTCGAGGGTCATCTTCGCTGCTGTTTCCAAAAGTTTATGACCCGTCGCCACCCGGAAGGAATATTTTCCATGATCATGGATCCAGCGCGCAGTTGTTGGGGCGCCGGGCTTACCACTCTCCTCAAACAGATCGTCGCACTTTCGCATATCGCCGTCCAAGAATGCTTGATAAGCTTCCGGGAAAGCCTGTCGAAAGCACAAAAGGAAGTTCCAGACGCCGTCCATGAGGACGACAGCAGCGAGTCGCTGTTCAAATGCCGCGGCTCTCGCTGCTAGCCAGCCGCCAAGTGACATTCCCACCAAACCGAGTTTGCCAGAGTCGATGAAGTCCAGTCTACCCGACCTCTGCTCAGACTCGACATAATCGATGATCGGCGTCACAACTCTTTCCCATTCGGGAATGAAGCCCCGCTTTTCCTTCACAAGTAAGGTTGGCTGACCGGGACCCTCGTACAAAATGACGTTATAGCCTCTATCAAGCGCGGCGAAGCCAAAGACGTGCATTGTTTCTTGATAATTGCTATCGAAGCCACCCCCGATGATCAAGGTCGGACGTGGTCCATTTACTGGCATGCCATCGATATGATGAGCTTGGAAGATCATGCCATGGACGTTGAACCCGTACTCTGTCGGCAGAACCATCTTCTTGCCGGGAAAAGGAAGGAGCTCGTTCGCGAGGTCGAAGTACTTGGTGGACTGTGCATACGATTCTGCGATACGGGGATCCTCAGGATTGCCGTGAATGAAAAAATCCTCCAGGAAGAAATAATGGCTGGCGCGAAAGTAAACCTCGCGGAGACTGACGCGTGAGAGAGGGCCGGTTGTGCTTTGGCTCTCCTCGATCGTGGCGAGGACTCGGTGGGCTAGTGCGTGCCATTCAGAATACCAACTCTCGGGATCGCCAGGCTTTATCTTTGCAAGCACGTTGAGCTGCTCTCGAACATCGCCTCCACCGTAGCGAACAGTGCCCAGGCTCCGAAGTCCTTCGTAGTGGTATTGAGTGTCAGCTGATAGTTGCATTTCGAAAATATGTTGACAAGTAGCTCAAGAAGTCCGAATGTCGTTGCTGGTATATTTAATGAAGTCGAAGGATGATTGATGGGTTCATGACTCAATTTTTCGGTCAAGATGATGGCTCCTATATAAAACATTTTTCTCTGACTCCGAGAGCGCGAAGGTTAGTTCAGCTTACTATTGAACGGCGGTCTTACGGCTCGAGGTGGACATCTGCCTCGAATCGTACAACCCAAACTCTTCGGTCTTAGGCGACAAGGCCGACGCTCCGGGCACGGATCCGATCTCGATGAAAGATTGAACGGGTATCGGTCAGATCGGACGTTGCACTCCGATGACTAACCCGATAGTTCATCTTCGCGACGACTAATGGTCTTAGCCCACCTTGAAAGTAGGAAATGACGTCAACTCGTTCATGTTCAGCTGTCGGGTGCCCTATCCGTTTGACCAATACTGTTTGATGTCGTCCATCCTAGAATACAGACTGGAGGGTTTCAAGTGGCGAACTCGGCCCATCGCACGAAATTTACGCCGAAACCGGACACTGCGCGTGGGCAAAATGCTGCATACCTGGGTACCTAGGTACACGACCCGTACAACTTCGGTCCAGCGCACGAAAGCTAGGCCGAGATCAGCCGCCCGCACGGCCTGTGGTATCTCCGAGTTTCATTGCCTTATCCCAAGTACTGACAATCTCTGGTCTGACAAAGCGTTGCGACCTCGGAGAAGAGAAAAAGAACACGAAGTTTTCGATAGTAGGATCATCCTCCAGAAGTCTTAGCATCGGATTGAGCGATAGGAGCATCTGACAGTCTCCAGTGGCGTACTCTCGTATTTTAATGACATAATCCTCAGCCCCATTTCATTTGTTCGGGCTCCACGCATACATGAGTAGTTACAGCTTACATTGCTGCTTAACCCGGCCACTCCAACAGATAAGTGTACCCTGTGCACGCGGCACACAGGATACGAGAAGTGTTGATCAATATCTTTTCAAGTCTCAAACCCCTCAGTCTTCGAGTCTGTCAGACTTGAGATCAGCTCTTGCGCCATCTCAGCAGATATTGCACCAGCTACTTCAACTTTGTCAACATGTTTCAATCGACGAAATGCATCCCATAAGCTGTTCGCTGACGGATGAAACTGTGGATCATCTGAGTATTTCTATTCGAGAGCCACAGACAGCCGGAGGCGTCGGTCAGTCGACTGAGCATGATCCCAAATAACCTCATTAGGTTGGTGTCCTAGGAGCCATTGAGGCCCCTGCGAGCTGTCGGCGATTTGGACTAGAAGCCGACGAAGGGAATGTGGTGCCAGACCCTGGCCATCGCTGCTGTCTTGTGCGCCTATGAATGCATCCATCACGATATTCACCCGTGTTTCGAGCGCGAGTGCATGCTCAGACTCGTAATCAGGCAATGGTAGACCACAATAATCGATTCGTCCGTCTATTGCCTCCGATATAACTAGGTCTCGCGCAAACCTTGCGGTACGGTGAGTCAGCGGCCATGCTGCTGCATCTAGGCTGTTGGAGTACTCCACGCTCGGCCACGCAGCAGTGAAACCAGTCGGAGGGTCCGGATTCTGAGGTGTGTTGTCCGCACCTGGGTCGTAGATGTGGTGCGTCTTGTTCCACGCCTCATCGATCTCAATCTCGGGATAGCGATGAACGGGCGTGGAGAGGTCCAGAAGCCAGGTGTTCTCGCCGTATAACATAGTGTTCCAGGCCTGATTAAGTCCTGTGGAAACACGGGTTATAGCAGTCAAATTCTTATACTCATGCATGAATGACACAGGAAAGAAACGGTGCTGCAGATATTTGTGAATCGTGATGTGATGCATGACATGCCAGACGTTTATCCAAGAACATCGTCTTGAATTGATTTCCTGAGACTTGTCTAGCTCCGGCGGTTGACCTCCAGATTCCCTCCGAATGTGCTCTTCCACACTGGTACAATGAAATATTCCTCCAGTGGGTATTAGGTAGCGGACGATCTGAAGCCATATCTCCGTCGGTAGGCTTTTGCAGCGAACGCGCCGATTGTGGGGACGGCATGCGGGACCGATGTCCTTGGATTTTTTGGTTTTGTACAAAGGAGCGCCGTAGGTTTCGAGCTTCGTCTGTTCGGCGAACCTGTTGATCCTCATGGCTCCAATTTCTATGTACGACGGCGGGTTTCTGCCATGAGTCATGTCCCATTCCACCGGACGCACCCACCAAATACCGCATGACACACGGCCTTTCACCTCGCGACGTAGCACTCGGGCCGCACGAGCATCGTGGCCTGAAGTCAAGGCTCTCTTGGCCACCTCAGCAGCTTCACGACGAGGGCCTTTCCGACCTTGGCCCCTTCTGATACGACGTCGAATGTCCAAAACCCGCTGAGTGCGCGAACTGAGTGTCCGCGTTGTCGGTCTTGTACGAGCCATGATGCCCTCGCCGAGGTCAAGAAATCTATCCTGCTCAGTGATTCAGGATGGTCGTATTCTTGTGAGCAATGTGTACAATTCTCGTGGCGACGGGCTTGCGATCGACTGTCCAGGCGGGATCAACGAAGTCCGCGGCTCTTCGCTGTGCTGTTTTCGAGCTTTGCAATACTCATCCAACCAAAGTACAATATCTCGACCTGTAGATGCCTGGAGAAGCGGCGCATATAAAACTTCCAACGTTGGCGACTAGTGCTGTGAAGGTACATGCTCAACTTTGTGATCAACATCAGCCCACAAAATTGTATCACGGATTTATTAAAATCCATGGAAAGCACTCCAAAATACTGCATGGTGATTCCTCTAGTATGGTCGGTCTTCGCCATATTTCTGCCCCTGACTGCGTGATCCATTAGACCATTGACCGCGTTTTCGGCCCAGAAACGTGAGCCTAGCATCAAAAGAGAATACCGTCTGAGGCGCTAACGATTCTTGCAACGTCCATTCACGTTGGGACCATCTGGACTTCGGAGGTAGACGGAAGATAATTCGCGACGTGCCTTGTCGTGACATGAGCGAAGACGGATTTGAAAGATTTTCTGGGGCACTCGCACACCTGCGAGGTGCATATGAGCCATTTGACGACGACTCCTCGTCATTGGCGGGAGACACATACGCAGCTACCGGGAAGGGCTTGAAGTTTGCGTTGAATTTCAGATCTTCCGAAAAAGCGTAGCATGCTACTGCGTCTCTGTACCAAGTGTACATTGAATTTGTGGATCCAGACAGCTCAGCAGTACTCGCTTTATCGAGGCAACATGTGTCGACTCATGCCCATTCAAGGCCATGAGACCCGACCATTCCACAACAATGCCTGATCTTCCGAAATCCCGACGACTTAGGGTTCTCTTCTACTTGAAACGAGACTTTGTCCTCCGTGGAACCCAAGCAGTGAGATCGTATCGCATATGGTGGCACATTGGGGCCGATGAACTCTTTCAGCACCATGCACTGAGGGTCAGTGGTGATCAGCCGCGAGGCCGACAGATATGACAGATCTGAATGGATGTTATCTTCTCGTCAAGTCTATCGTCGCACCAGCGATGCGGCTGAGATGTTGGGCCACAATCTTACATATATAAATGCCGGGGTCCGCTCACCCAGGGCGCTTCGTCTGTCGCTCACAGGTCACTGGCCAGGGTTAATGCAGGACGCTGACTCTCTTCATCAAGAACAATGGAATGCGACAGAACGGCAATCGTGGACGTCCTTCAAGTCTGCATATGACAACCACAAGGCCGAGTAGTGAGTTGAGTCCCAGACAATTTTGATCACGGAGAGTCAAGAACGTTGTTGATGACACGACCAAGACCACCACCACGAACGTGAAGTGAAAACAACAACGAAATTGTTCCTCTATCTATATGCTTCCCTCGGTCTGGTACTGGAACAAAGCATTTCTTCTCAACCCATAAATCGTTTGTCGTCATCGCTGTCAAATAGTCAAATGCATTGTCATCAGCATTGGATTCCTCGACCACACGGAATGCAGGCAAGAGGACACAAGCATCGAGTATTTCCCTTTCGCTGATCAAGAGTGCATATAATGTCGAACCGAGTACTGATAGTTGTATGTTGTCCCTCGCTCGTTCCCGATCACATATTTGACAATTGTGAATTTTCGTGATGTCTGAAAGGACGAGGTCTTGCTGTCAGAATGATTCATCCCTCCGAGTCTGATCAGATTTGAAAGAATGAGGACACTGGAACTCACATCGTCTAGCACACGGTTACTTGCTAAAATCCCAGTGATATTGCCACGAATATTCAGCATCTGCCTGACCTATGAGGCGTAACAACTGAAGATAACGAAGAGGAAAGAAAAGTCCATGATTGTGCGTCGAGTTGGATGAGCCTTGAGATGTGATGTGCTGATACCTTGCGATAACGTTGTAACGACCTTGACTTGAGACAGCGGCCCAGGATAAGTACGAAGGTGTTGTGTCAAGAATACAATGTCGCTCTCGAATAGTTTTGGACACAAAAATGACGGGAACAGCTCGCTTTAAAACGTCCGAGCCGATGTCATTAGCATATGCCATGATGTATCGAGAACAGAAGCCGTTTTCGGAAAGCCTGAACTGGATGCGCCGAGGCAGATTGAGATCTGACTCGAAATGACTCCATAGTGACTATGCAGACAGCAGCAACTGATGTACGTATCTGCCTAGCTTAATGAATCATCCAATAGATTCTCATTCTCCTAACATCTTCGAGACAATCGAGGCAATCGAAACACGAATATGTGTTAGCGTCAAACCCGCGTGGAAGCCTGGTTGTCGATCTCTTGACCTACCCCTCCCACGTCACTGCCTTTCCTGAACCTTATCTGTTGACACATGCGAGACATACAGGTATAGGTGAATTCAGACGGAGCAATCGAAAAGCTGACCAAAAACGATGTCTCAATTGTCTCTGCCTTTCGAGCCGTGAAATGGCCGGGCAGCAGGTGAGTCATCGGCGAGGATCAGTATCTGATGGGTTGTCATTATACTTCCTCCAATGTGACAGACCTGTAGTATCGGCGACGTGAAAGCCTTACAGGTGCCTACCCCTCATGCTCTCAGAATCGTCATGAATACAAGAGGAATTGGCGGGCGAGCGAAATCACGGGCCAATGGTTCGGCTGGAATTTGCGCTTTCGCGAATGAAACGCGGAACGAGGGAATCCTGTCGGCCGGAATGCACGACACCTTGTGTAGTTTTATGAGAGCCGTTCTGTTGAGGTGTGGGTATCAGTAGACCGGAAACATTGAGTATTGAGTAGCAACAAGGCCTTTTTGAGAAATCAGTTTCGAGACTGCGATGTGGTTGTTCAGGCCGAGCATGAATGCAGGGCGGATTGTGCCAAAATACAGGGCCAGACCGTTCTGGAAACTCATCAAACAGGGATCGACAACTCCGACTTCTCATCGACTGCCACAGCAGGACAATTGATGGCCGATCGCGACGATCAACTCACGTGCTTAGTTGCTGGAACTATCCCCAGTGCGTACCACAATATGCGGATCGTGTAGTACCAAATGTGACATTCTTTCTCCTTGCGTGAAAAGCACGAAATTTCTTGATACGGTCTTGACGCAGGTAAGATGTCCATTACGTGCGTTCGACAGATCTACATGACGCGTCACCTTGAAACAATGTACAGGCGATCAGAAGCGGAATAGTAAAAAGTCTACGAGCGTGATGCAAATCCTCGGGTGCAGATGTAAAGGGTGCAGTGGAGAAAGAGTGAAGACGGCCAAAGGAAACGCGCTTGCCCCGCTTCCCCAGTTTGGTGACGGTGGACAACTCTCCTCGCCAAATGACCGCCAGTTCGAAACAATCACTGCATCGGCACGGCACGACTTTCCTCGAACAAGGTTCCGCCAACCGTCGCAATGCTGTTGATGTTCTTGGTGGCCTATCACCCTACCAACCGTCGTTGGAATGATCATCCATCACAATATGGCCACAGGCGGATCACTGTGCCCGTCTGGGTAAGATCTCCGACCCGAATTTGATGGTCTAAGACTTGACAACCAGAGATAAAAGTCGGCCCGAAGGATCCGGCGAGAGGCGGCCCCCAAAAGGCGAGTGCTTCACCGATAACAATTTTTCTTTATCTTTTGCAGATCATTTGCAGAGGACTCGAGCCTGGCAATCCCCCAAGCATGCTACACCTCTTAGATCGCGACACCTCACGTGTACATTTGCATGCCAAATAGAGCTCGGTGTGCGCAAGTCAATCGCGCACGCGACGTTGCGCATAACGACCGACGATTATCTCCGTAGCTCGCGACCACGCGCGTCTTGCGATCAACAGAGACCAGGACTATGGACATCTCGGCACAAGACCGTGAAGCTCTCCCTGCCGAACCACAATTTTGGATTCCTGGAACAGTGCAGCTTCTCAAAAAGAACTCCGATGGCAGTGGGAAGCTGACGGAAGAAATCAAACTTAACCCAACGCCGACGACCAGCCCGAATGACCCATTGAATTGGTCGCCCTTGCGCAAATATTGGCATGCGGCCCTCATCCTGTTTATTGTCGGCCTGACCGCTGCGACGTCTAACGATGCCGGATCCGCTGGAGATGCGATCGATGCGGAACTCGGAATCGATTATTCTGTGCAGAATACAGCCGCTGGCGTGCTCTTCGTTGCAATCGGCTACTGGGCGCTCCTAGCTAGCCCGATGCCATGGCTTTACGGACGCAGACTGCAGTACATACTTTGCTTGATATTTTCGCTCGTCGGAGCCATCTGGTTCTCCAAATTACAGAGTTCGGGCGATCTCATCGCCGGCCAACTTTTCGTCGGCGCCTCACAATCGTGTGCCGAAGCCCTTGCTCAGCTTTCCCTGTCTGATCTCTTCTTTCAACATCGACGCGGGACTGTTCTAGGTCTTTACATTCTGGCAACATCCGTCGGAACGTTTCTGGGTCCTCTGGTTGGTGGCTTTATATCAGTGACGGATTGGCGATGGGTCGGCTGGGGTGCTGTCATCGTGTCGGCGGTCACCCTCGTCGTGTTCTACTTTGGCCTCGAAGAGACGACATTCAACCGAGAGATCTTCTTGGGTCGACGCTTAGAAGGCGAATCGAACACAAATTCACACACGTCTGTGCCTGATGGAGATGAGAAGCCAAAGGGTATTTCTAGCGGGTCCACAACGAATGTCATTTCAGAGTCCTCGCATATCGCGAACGTTCCGTACACATCAGTCGAAGATCCACCAAAGAGCTATCGCCAAAGGATTGCGCTCATCACGCGCAGTCCAAACACAAGAGGCCTCGGCTTCAAACAGTACTTTATGCGCATCTGGCATACGTTGCGGATCTTTGCATTCCCGGCCGTGCTCTTTTCTGGCCTACAGTGGGGTGCACAGGACGCCTGGTTGAGTTTCTATATCACTACCCAGGACACCAGCTACTACGATGACCCCTACAACTATGGCGACGAAGCAGTGGCGATCATGAATGTGCCCACCTTGATCGGTGCTGTCATCGGTTGTATTTATGGCGGATGGTTCAGCGATATTTTCGTGAAGTGGTGCGCTAGACGTAGAGGAGGCGTCAGCGAAGCAGAGGATCGCTTGTGGCTCTTGCTGGCTTCGGCGGTGATCAACCCAGCTGGTCTCATGCTTTTCGGGATCGGGACAGCTAACGGACTCGACTGGCCAGCGACATATGTCGGCCTGGGATTCATAGGCTTCGGCTGGGGATGTAGTGGCGATCTGGCACTCGCCTATTTGATGGACGTTTATCCAGACATGGTGCTTGAAGGCATGGTGGGTGTCGCCGTGATCAACAACAGCCTCGCCTGCATCTTCACATTCGTCTGCAGTAAGTTGTCTCGTCCAGAGTTCCCTTTGTGAAAGACATCCCTGACGATTCCACAGGCATCTGGCTCGACAACTCTGGGACTGCAAATACCTTCATTGCCATTGGAGTGCTATCGGCGTTCTTTCAGCTGCTTACTATTCCCATGTTGATCTGGGGCAAGGATTTCCGGCGCTGGACGCTCCCTGGCTACACGAAGTTCTTGTACTTGCGGGATGGAATGTGATATGTCCTGGACGTTTGTAAAACACATGATGCAGCGATTCTCATGTGGAGTTGATCATGTTTGATGTTATCATGAATATAGATACTGCCCTGGACAAAACAACAATATATATACATATATATATTGGCACGTGCCGATGTTTTTCTTTGTCTCCGACTCGGGAAAGATGACGATTGCCGCGAAAGGCCGAGGTCGCCCAAGCTAAAAAGCTGGCGCCGGGCGGCAGCCATTGGCCGTTCAGACTTAGTAACACACGACGATCTGTGTACACAATATCTCCAGCGACAGAGCTTTATCATTCGCGCGTGTTCATCAGCGGCCCAAATAATAGAACGGCATCCGGCGTGAAGATTGTCGCAGATTCGGTGGTGACTTGACGATCAGGCGACGTTACGGGCATTAAATCCGACCGACCTTCCTCCTCCGACCAGCTGCTCAGCCAGCTCATCGCCTTATCTACACGCACAATGGGCTCTCCATCAGCGTCCGAAACGGCCAAGGCCGCCACACAAGGCAACCTGCAACCTCTCAAGGACAACATCTCCGACCTCAAGCACACCGCACAAGCCAAGCTCGATGCCGCCGCCCAGAGCCTACCGTCAAACACAGCGGAGCTGAAGGAGGATGTCAAGGAGGCTGGCAAGAAGGCTTTCCAGTCTCTGCGGGACTTCGCGGCCGGAGGTGTGGGTGGTGTCTGCTCGGTTGTTGTTGGACATCCCTTCGATTTGGTCAAGGTCCGGTTACAGACGGCGGAGAGCGGTGTCTACAAGGGCGCGATGGATGTCGTCCGGAAGACGGTGGCTCGAGAGGGTTTGGCCAAGGTAAGTTTCGCTCATGAGGAGGATTCGGGGGGGAGGAGGAATATTGCGCGAGAAGCGAAAGGAAGGATTCATGCGATGGATGATATATACTGGGCAGAGGACACCCCCAGCTGATTTTGATGATCACAGGGAATGTACGCTGGTGTTTCCGCGCCATTGGTCGGTGTCACACCTATCTGTGAGTAAACATCCTGACCTACACATGACTGCAGGGATACTGACATGCCCCTCTATAGTCGCCATCAACTTCTGGGCCTACGGTGTCGGCAAACAGCTCGTGGAATCCTTCTCGAACAACAAAACCGGCCAATTGACCGTCGCCCAAGTGTCCGCCGCCGGCCTCTTCTCCGCCATCCCCATGACCGTCGTCACCGCGCCCTTCGAACGCGTGAAGATCATCCTCCAAATCCAAGGTCAGAAAGAGCTCGCACCAGGCGAGAAGCCGCGCTACAGCGGCGGTGTGGACGTCGTGCGACAGCTCTACAAGGAGGGCGGTCTCCGCTCCGTCTACCGCGGTAGTCTGATGACCTTTGCCCGTGACGGACCCGGCTCAGCGGCGTACTTCGCGACCTACGAGACCATCAAGCGCTACCTGACACCCAAGGACCCCGTCACCGGCAAGGCCGGTGAGCTCAGCATTCCCGCCGTCATGGCGGCTGGTGGTGCGGCCGGTGTGGCTATGTGGACCGCTGTGTTCCCGCTGGACACGGTGAAGAGCCGTCTGCAGAGCTCGGAGAAGAGCCAGTCGATCTCGGCATGTGTCAAGGAGCTGTACGGCAAGGGCGGTGTCAAGGCTTTCTTCCCTGGTATCGGCCCAGCTATGGCGAGAGCTGTTCCTGCCAACGCGGCGACTTTCGTGGGTGTCGAGTTAGCGCACAAGTTGATGGACAGGGTTTTCTAGACGTTTTCTACATTTTCCCAATGTGTACAGGGAGACTTGGTTTGGGCAGCGGGAGCGCTTCAAGGGACTCACACTGCTGCATTTAATAGATGATACGAACAGCTTCTAGAGAGATATGGGACGCTCCTATACTGGAGGCGTTGTCGGAACCGCGCAGAACTCGGAGGGCCGCTTCATCAGCAGCCCACGATGACATTTGTGTTATATAAGTAGGCCGGTGAACTAGGCCCAGCACTCTGCAACAAACAATAACAATGAATCATCAGGGACGTTCCGGTCCCGGGGGTATTTTCCTTTCCAACTCCTTGTTCTACAATGATAAAACTCTGCGCATTCCGACCACCACGCGTGTTTCAATTCTGAAGCACACGATTCCCAACATCCTATTCGTCAACCGAACGACTGCAAACTCGTTCACACCATCACATCACCAGCAGATAATGATCAGACCCCGCCAGCTCTACACTTCTGCAAGAACGTCTCCCTGCTCATATCGCCATAAGCACGCTTTGGACCAGCAGGCGTACTGTGAACGTTATGCGCTGCGGTCTTTTTGGCCAGTTTCTGGTGCACAGGAGACTCCGGTATTACAGTTGCCTGGATCTTGGGCTTCTTTGCGGCATGTCGAGCTTTGAGTTTGGCAGCCGCTGTGGTCGATGTGGCTTGTTCTTGGCTTGGCTCGGGTGACGGTGATCGACGTCGACGCTTTTTCGATTTTGTGGCCCCGGTTCTTGTGTGATTTTCAGTTTGACTGCTCGCGACGACTGCTTCTACTGCATGCTTCTGATTTTGAACTCCCTTGGACGCATCGGCTGCTTTGAGATGATTCATCTCAATGTTCGATGTCGCGCGAAGGATCGGAGGTTGGATGTTGCTCGCTGCGCCAGTCGTGGGTGCGTGTCTGGCATTAAGGCCAGTGGCAGAATACCGACCATCCTGAGTCTTTCGGGTAACCTTTGTAGTATTGTGTTGTAGAGGCCAGTCGGCTTCTCCGAAGCGGATTGGACCATCGTCCAGGTCTGACGATTGGTCTAAATCCTCAAGCGAGGATGGAATTCTTGACATCTGTGATACATCCACTTGATTCTCTCGGACTTGTGCCGCAGGTGCTAATGTCCCTGTGGACCGCCCACCAGCGGCCAAGTCCGATGCTCGTTCGGTCTCGGCCTGCGCTCGGGACCTCAGTGCGTTCAAGCGTTTCTTGGCCTTTTTCGAAAGCTTGGGGGTGCTCTCGTCATGCTCACCAGAGAGCTGGTTCCGGGCTTTGGCCTTGGCTTTCTCTTTCTCCAACTCTTCGGAATACCGAATCCAGGCGGCTTCCTCTCGCGTGCAATCAACGAGGTCATACCGCCAGAGCCGCGGGAGGATTTTCGCAGAGACATTGCCCATACTAAGGATTGAGTCTAGCAGGAACTCCATCTTCTGGCGAGGATGACATTGATCGTCGTTCTGTAGAGCTCTCATTACTGGCGACGGTTGAAACTCGTAGCTAGCTGTGCAATAAGCAATTTGACGAAGTCTGGTGATTAAAGCAGGATCACCAATGCTGGATAGCTTGCTTTGCAGTGCAGCGTCGGACACCGCTCGCCAGAACTGGTCGTTTCCGGTGCCCAGGTCTTGATTGTTCTCGATCAAATCAGCCATTGCAGGGTTTCTACCAAGTGCGACCAGGTTTTCTCTGATTACGTCGTAGTAGTCACCGCGATCAAATATGTGGAGATGCTGCTCTGCCGTGATGTCAGGTTGTCTTGCTTGTGCGTTAGACACTTCGATTCGAGGCGCTTTTTCCGGCATAGCAATACTAGATGAGCTCGTGACTGGCGTTGGCTGTTGCAGCGTCGGCCGTTCCTCTTGGATGTTATCTGGGGCGCTTTCTGGAAGTTCTTGTCTCATCGCTGGCAAATCGTCGTCCGACATGATCAGATCATCCGAATTCTGAACCTCCTTTGATATCGGATCCGTCGACATCAGCTTCATCTGAGGACTGTCAGGCTGAACCGAATCGGAAAGTGTTTCCACTGGTGGTTGCGAGCTCTTTGGCCGCTCCACGGGGATAACCACAGCTACTACTACTCTCTCCGTCGCTTGCGGGTCCAACACCTGCCCTGCATCCAAGTCTTCTTCCACAAAAGTCATGCCCTCGTCGATGTGACTCGCCAATGGTCGGTTTCCAGTAGCAAGCTCATGCGCTGCTCTCTCCACAGCCGCATCGCCAGGCATCGTCTTGCTGGCATGTTTGTACGCTCGTTGTATGTAGTCCCTCAGGCTTCGTGCGCTTCTTTGAGGCACAACAGCTATTAGTGCGGCTAACAACGCATCGTAGACAGGTCCTTTCCCAGTACAAACCGTACCAAGGAACTCGGCTCGTGTAAGACTCTGAGCCTGTAGCGTCCCATCCAAAGTCTGCTTAATAGCCTCCTTTTCTGATTCGGAAAACGGACCAGAGCGTTTGGTGTCCAGGCCCGGAAAATATCGACGGCAGAACTTTCTCAAGCTTCGCCAGTCGCGAGTGGGCAGCGCCTCTCTGAAAGCGATCTTGTATGGAACCTCGGGTCCTGTGTTTCCCCATCTTGCGATCTCTGCCTGTAGTTGCTCGCGACTTAGATTCATCAAATCACATGATCGCTCAAAGGCAGAGCCGAGTATTGCTATTTCGGTTCTATCAAAAGGGCCTTTCTTTAGTCCCGATCTTTTGACCTTGCCGTGTGATGTGACTTCGTCTTCGACTTCATCATCCGTTTCGTCATTCTGGTGACCCTTCTCCAGCTCTTCAACTTCGGGATCTTCTTCTGCTTCTTCGTCTGCGTTGGGCCGATCGCCCTCGTCCACGTCGTCTTCTACATTATTCTCGTACACAATTTCTGGGCTCTCCGATTGCACCCATTGCGATGACTGCTTATCTTGTGGAGGTGGCTGTACAGCTGGACGATGCCGTGGCTTGGAGGTAGCCGCCGCCGGGGTTCTCAAGATGACCTCGTCCTCGTCGGGCGGTGACAGTCGTCGTCGCTTAGATCTTTTGCGCTCGAATGCGGATTTAGCGTGTGTGGTATTCGTGCTGGCCGCCTTCGTGGCCCTTGCTCTGCGACGCTCCATTGGGGTAGCATATTTTCCGTGGACTTCCGGTGATGAATTCAAAAGGCGATTGATGTGTGCTTGACTGGATTTGTATGCAGATTGTTCCAATTCACGTGCAAGAATTTGACTGCCGGTGTCACTTGGAGTTTGCGCCCTCTCCGGCTCGTGGTGAGCTTGCGTCGCAGGCGGCTGCAATTGCGATGATGAATTCCCCATCTCGAACGTCTTTTGTTGCCGCGTATCTGTCGCGTCAATCCGGATGTCGGATCCGATGCATAATGAATACCAAGAGTGCTGGCTGCCTCAACCAGATCTCTCAGCGTGTGGCGTGTGTTCCCGCGCGAGCACTTCTTCAGCAATGAGCCGATGGCTGCGCTTGGAAGTGAATTAATAAACATACACATCACCTGCAGGGCGCCGGTAGCTACGGGCGGGACCCTTCAATAATCAGAATTAGTGCCGCTGTTTTGCGCCCGGGCGTGTCGTCACTCCGGCCAAGTTCATGGTTCATCAAGCTTTCAGACGCGGGAAAGTCCCGAGGAACTCACGGATCTGCGTGCCAGAATTGTTCGAGGACGTCACAGCATCCACTTCCAATCGACATTCGCGATTCAGGTTCCTAGACCTCAGGGGACGGGTCACGCGAAACGCGAAACGCATCCGACTGCATTACATCCGTCAACGTGCCAACATCTCCGCCAGCGGCGAGCACGCGAAACGTCACATTGGGCCGAGAATTCCTGGTCAAAGAGGTTAGGAGAGAAGCAGATATGGCCGCCGACTATTCGTCACAACAAGTGCTCCGGCACCAGGAAGAGCAATTCACTGAGCCATACAGTGACCGACCTGAAGTACAACTTTCAAAATCTCATCGCGAAATGGCGGAGCCTGCACCGGGCGAGACTGCAGAACAACACGCGGCTCATGCTATCTACCAATCAAAAAAGCACTGGGGATTAGATCGGAGGTCAGGGACAATTCTCTTCTACGCCATAGCGATTCCATCATGGGTCTTCGAGATCGTAGCATCGGCATTGGCACCATATTACAAGACACACAGCGCGCCCTTCATTGCCTGCGCGACGATATGGTTATTCCTCTGGGCATTCGCATGGCTTCAGACAGCATCTGCGATGCTTCAAAGAGCAAGTTGGGTGCGCGACGAAAGTAACCTGAAGGACCGGCGGCAATTTCTGGATCTCAGCGTGCGGCTCAATCAGCTGATGATGCCCACGGCATTGATCGCGTTTGTCACGTTCCTGGTCGCCTATACCGGAAGACGGCATTATCACGACCTCACCTTTTGGCTGCTGTTTTTGTTGCTTTTCATCTTGAATACCGTGGGATGCGTCATGAATGCGTACAATAACATTGGGTGGGAGTGCGATCGGCTGCATTATGAGGAGGGCGAGGCGCCGATGAAGTATACGCGCCTGGCGATGCTGGGAATTCCTTCATGATTCGGCGCCCCGGGTTGCGAGGCTCGAGTGTGTTTCTGGTGGACACCATTCTGTTTTTTCGTTTGCGTTGAGCGATATATGTGGCCTTTTTAATGTTTTTCGATACGTTCGATATGCATCACGGAGTGAAAGAATGACAATCCGGGAATCTGTTGTGATGGACAGGAAGCATGCCACCTTCACCCACGGCCCCATCGGTGTCGCCTGAACTCGCAGAGTTTGTGACTGTGAGATATTCCGTATGAGTCACGTTTCGCCACACGATAGTCTGTTGGAATGTGGAAAAACAAGAATCTTGCAGGTGGTCTTAATCACGGGTTGCACGGTAGGGTCCCTACCCCAAACCTAGGCACCAACCCTAAGGATTTGAGAAGCTGGAGCGGGCGTGCAAGGGGCGACCACCTTCATCAGTGATGATAGCGCGATTCCTCTATACCGCCACGATCGAGAGGGATGCGCAGTGTCGTACGATATATGACAGGTTGGTGACACTTATCCTGTGTGATCGATTTGATCCGGTGGTGACGACGTGAAATCGGGATCTCATCGACCAGTTCAACAAGCAGGCCTCACGCTAGACAATGGAATCTGCCAGGGAGCCTTGGAGTGAATTGTTTGTTGCCTGATTGCCTGTCCATAGGGAAGACATCAGGCTGATGACGGAACGCGAATGACAAGCCATATTCCATGCAGAACCGCAGTTTTATCTTGTTCGACTTCTGATACCAGCTGGGCACGCTGCGAATGTTTCCTTGAATCTGGAGCAACAATACTCTATCATTATTAGGTGAAGGTTGATATCGGACGGACATTGGCGTGTGCTACGTCAGGGCGCTCTCTCTTTTGACAGAATTCTGGCACGTGCTAGCGGGGGCTCTGCCGGCCGGCGCCCGATGCGGAACACATTCCACCCATTTGCTATAAAGTCGTGCCCAAAGCTCTCTCTACACAGCTCGGAGATGCTCACCAAACGCCAAGAACGAATTCGAGATCGAGTCCGATCTATTATCCATTGATCAATTGTCTCCCAATTAAGACCCATCGCATCGCCCGACATCTCGTGTCCTCCACATCGTGACGATTCATCAATAAATATTCCAAACACCCCACGATCGCATCTCATCACACCCTGCTCCCGGCGACCGCGCAACGCGACCGACGCGTTGTGAATATTTGTGGACTTCCCTGGCCATTTGGTACCTCACGCGACACCAATTGCCGAGCCGACACCGTGTTCCTGAAACACAAGCGACGTTACTCCCGCAACTCTGCAAACGTGAATGCTCAAATTCGCGTGTGCTCATCTTCCGGCGCAAAAACCACAACTTTTGCCATGCCATGATTAACGAGGCGCAATCGCAACCACCGCTCCAATGCGTCTCCTCACACCCCACGAGTTGCTCTACCCCATCACCGTCACCAAACTGTTGAAGAAAGAGGGAGATGATATCAAAGCGAATGAGGCGCTGTTCGTCTACACCTACACCAGCACAGTCACCGAATTCGACAAAGACCTGAGAGAAGATGTGGAAAAGAAGCGGACATGGCCTGCGAACTTTGAGAGCGAATTGGAAGGCAAAATTTCCTTCTTGAACGTGACAGTTGGTCAGGTCATTACGAGGAGGTCTCCGGTGGCAGAGGTTGAAGAGGCTTGCAGGCACGAGATTCAATATGGTGGGATTTGCGCTGAGTGCGGCGCGGATATGACACAGAATCACTACAACACATCGATCGCAGGCACATCTCGAGCCACAGTCAACACTGTCCACGGTCACACAGACCTGCTAATCTCACAAGCTGAGGCGACCAAGGCCGATGAAGACGTCAAGCGGCGACTTCTAGACTCGCGCAAATTGAGCTTGGTGGTCGATCTGGACCAAACAGTCATACATGCCGCGGTAGAACCTACGATCGGGGAGTGGCAGAACGATCCAACAAACCCCAACCATGAAGCCGTGAAGGATGTTCGCAAATTCCAACTGATTGATGATGGACCCAGTGGTCGAGGCACCTGGTATTATATCAAACTTCGACCAGGACTGCCGGAATTTCTAGACACCATATCCAAGCATTACGAGCTGCATATCTACACAATGGGTACGCGCGCCTATGCTGAGAACATCGCGAAGATCATTGATCCCGACCGCAAGCTTTTTGGCGACCGAATCCTATCTCGTGACGAGAATGGCAGCATGACGGCCAAAAATCTGAAGCGTCTGTTCCCCGTAGACACGAAGATGGTCGTTATCATCGACGATCGAGCTGATGTCTGGAGTTGGAGCCCCAATCTCATCAAAGCCAGCGTGTACAATTTCTTCGTAGGCATTGGTGACATCAATTCGAGTTTCTTGCCTCAGCAACCGACTTTGGAGTTACGACCGGCGAAGTCTGCAAAGTCCGAAAAGGACAGCGCGAATGGGACTAATACAGCTGCGACGACTGGAAGCAACCCGACGGCGACGAACTCCTCATCAAACGGTGCGCCAACATCGATAACATCGCCAGGTGAAAAGAGCGATCTCTCCGCAGTCGAGCAAATGGTGTCCATGGCTGGAATGCAAGACGCCGGAAGTCTGCAACAAAAGCTAGATGCTCAGGCCCAGACCATTGTTGCTCAGGTCGAAGATCGACCTCTTCTGCAGCAGCAAAAGGCATTGGAGCAGCAAGAAGATGAGGCGGCCAAGGCTAGTCCGGCGGTGGAAGCAGCGGCGGAGGACCTGTTAATGACTGATGAGAACAGCTCTGAAGAGCCGTCTCAGGAATCGGTCTCTCCCCAGAAACAGCATCGCAGCATCCTGCGGGATGACGATGTGGAATTGGAGCATCTTGGTCGAAGCCTGCGGGATGTGCACGCTGCGTACTATGCAGAGTACGACAAACAAGCACTGGGCTTAAAAGGAGGAAGAGTCGCTGAGCTGCGGCCGGGGCACAGCAAAAAGCGATCCTTCGATGATCTCGATAACATCCCTGATGCTGCCGAAATCGTCGGCCGGCTGAAATCTAAAGTCCTCGCGGGAGTCCAAATCGTCTTTTCTGGCATCTTCTCGATCGGTACCAATATTCACCATCAAGAAGTTGTCATGCTTGCCAAAATGTTTGGCGCGACCATTGGAGAGCGCATCAATTCCCGCACGACCCACGTGATCGCTTCACCCGAGCGCCGGACAACAAAAGTCCGTCAGGCGCTCATGCGTCCTCGCATAGCCGTTGTCGATCTTTCGTGGTTGCCTGCGTGTTTTCAACATTGGGAGAAAGTTGACGACAAGCCTTACCGTATTCACCAGGAAGATAACATCCACTTAAGCCGCGGAGAGAGCTTTGATGATGAGAGAGACCTCTCTACCTCTGACGACGACGACGGCGCTGGCCTGGATGCGGATGAGAGCAGCGACGCATCTAACCCACCAAACGGAAAGATGCGAAACCTCGCGCTCCGCGTCGATACTGGGACCGGCACCGAGACCGACACAGATGAGGATCTCGAACAATACCGACCTACAGACGAACGCAACGATAGCAGCCCTACAGTGACAGAACATGCCGAAGACTGGGGCAACATCGATGACGAACTCGCAGAATTTCTCGGCAGTGACATGGACGATGACGAAAGCGATGCAGAGAGCGTCGTGAGCGAAAACACCCTCCTTCAAGCCGTATCAAAACGAAAGCGCGACGATCTCACCGACTCCGAGGCGGAAGTCAGCGATAGTGGCGGCGCGAGCAACGGGAGTCGACTGCAGAAACGCAAGCGTGAGGCCCTCAAAAGGACGACGAGTTTGACGAATATGTCTGCTGCGGCTACTTCCGCGCCTCACACGAATGGCAATGCCACCTCCGCCGCCTCTGAAGGTGGTCCATCGAATGACGGTGCCACCAACAACGACGATGATGATGACGACCTTGGCCTCGGCAGCGATGACGATCTCGAAGCAGCTCTGGCGGCGGAAATGGCGCGCGATACTGATGATGAGAATTGAGCTATTGAAGCCAAACGGGGAAATGCAATGGAGTTCTTTTCTGTGGCGTATTCGATTGATTATGAATTGGGAGGCATGATTCTTGATGTTTTTTCTTCCATCTGCCCAAGCGCACCTTTGACCCGGCATTGTGGCGTTTTGGTGTACTGTTGAATCTTGTTAACAATTGTCCGAGAGTGTGCACGCCACTGGACATGTTGTTCGTTCGCAATATCATGTTTTCATGCAGGGCAGAGTTCATGCATCGAAAATGCTATGCTTTGTGGTGACCAGCTTGATCTTCCCAAGTTACTGTTTTCATCGTTGTAGAGAGAGGGGGCGGGAGCATGAGGAGTTGGATGTTATGCTAGCGCTGCTGCTTACCCTTGCTTTGGATTTGTGAAAAGACCAAAGGAGAGATTGATATATCGAGATGAGCGCGATTGTACTTCCCGAGCGTCCAGAAGCATATCCGGGAGAGAAGCAATGATTTCTTCGTGAGACTTCTAAACATTATAGTGTCCAGGATGATGATCTCAATTGCCAAGCCCCAGCGAGCGGACCCCATCCGGGCGCCGCCAGTGGGCCTCTGGTGTCATTCACGATGTGAAATGCCATTTCCCGGACAAGGACACTCCCTTAACAATACTGTCATGGTTTCGTACCAACTTCAGAAGTAGGACTGGCGGGCGGAGAAGCGAGCCGCTCTGCGTATTGCGACATGACGAGGTCTTGAGCCAGCGACGCGTGCGTCGACAGGCCTTCATCAAAGCCGTCATCCGATCCGGAGCAAGATCTGCTTCTCGGGTCGCGTCATGCGAAGCATTCGGCAGCATCCATCGGTCGCTACTTCACGCCGACCGCCTCAATTTTCCGGTTTCAACTGAACAACGCATGCAATGTCTGTGCGGGAGACTCTGGCGCAGGATGCCGCCGAAAACCTGCTTCTCCGAGATCAGCTTCACATTCGACTTCTCCGAATGTCGCCAGGATCAGATGACACCATACCGCATCTCGAAGTTTCGGTCTTCGATTGGGCGGACGTCCAAGGCAAGTATGAGGCACTCTCCTACATGTGGGGCTCACCAGACAAGGTGCATCAAATTAGAGTGGGAGAAACTATGCTACCTGTGCGTGAAAACCTAATGCGTTTCATTCTGCACTACAGCAAGACCGCTATACCGGACAAATGCGAATACATCTGGATTGATGCATTATGCATTAACCAAGAAGATTTGGCCGAGAAAGCGCGGCAAGTTGCCGCCATGAGTTCCATATATCGAGGCGCACGTCGCGTCCTTGTATGGCTTGGAGAAGCCAGCGAGCGGGAAATTCTCACCCAAAGTCTTCTTGACAATGTGCGGCAGATCTATAGAAATGCTGAGCAAGAGGGTAAGCTAAATATTCGGAATTCTGACTACTCATCACTGGAATATTCGATCCGTTGCTGGGCGGTCGATAAAGCTCTCGGCAGTTCTTGGAAAGCAAACGATGGCATCAAACACCAGAATTATATGAGGCTACGCGCTTACATGAAGCAAATATGTGCCCATCCATATTGGTCACGACTGTGGATCGTCCAGGAAATTCATCTTGCTCGTAACGGGCTTCAGGTCATTGCGGGAAACGTCCTTGTTGATGACGAATTCCTCAATATCCTGAAGCAGATAAGCCTTGTGTACGGGAGAGAATATCCTTCAGAGAGCCTGGCCGAAGCTTCAACGAAACAAGGGCCGTTTATGAAGATGGTTGAAAGAGCCCGCCCGTCCGATGGTCTCTCGCGAGTCAACGGTGCGCCAGAGTCACTTGTCGCGAATCTGCATCGTTACTGTCTTCAATCTTGCTCTGAACCAAGGGATCGTATTTTCGGCCTACTTGGTCTTCTGGATCCCAAGTCGCTGACCGCTCAAATCAGAGTAGACTATACAATGGACCTCTGGCTTCTTTTCTTGAAAGTCCTAGACCTCATCTTGGCCGAGGGATTTTCTGACAGGAAAATCAAAAAGAAGCCAATGCTGAGTTGGGTTCGATGGCTCGCATGGGCGCTTGAAATCATCCCGACTGACGTTGTTGCATTGTTCTACGATGCGTCAATCGATGATAGATCGCCATTGGAGTCCGAATGGGTCAGCTCGCATTTCCAACAGTTTGCTCGAGAACAAGGGGCTGATCTCATGACTGCCAAATTTGCGCTCCAGGCATTTAAACTTTGCACAATCAATGTAGCGGTGTCTGTGCCCCATACTCGGATCGAGACGCAGACTGGAATGGAACTAGGATCCACGGATGATGGAGTGACGGCTGGCAAGACATTCTCTTACGTCTCCTCCGCCTCCTTCAACAGTACCTACAATTACCAGTTCAGACTGTGGCTCCATGGTCGCGCCCAATGGTTTTGGAAATACCATGCCCAGACATGGCTTTGCCAGCTCGACGAACAATATCATTTCCCACTTGCCATTCAGCCGCAAAGCAATGGATCGATCAGGGTCCTGGGTTACGTTGCGAGAGAACAACCCGGCAACAGGGAGTCGCCATGGAAGCTTAAACAATTGCCACCCGAAATCACGGCTCATTTCCAGACTTGGTTCGACCAAAACCTTATCGAGATCAAACAACGTTGGCTACAGCCCGTGCAAATGCGCAGCAAGGAGCTCTACATCCCTTTGTCCATTCTGTATTTGATGGAATTGGCATATCTCTCACAAAAGAGCATTCCTGACACCATGTATACACAGGATTTATTCACCCTACCTGACTCTCCAAAAGGCATCCCAATCTGGATGCCCATGTCACGGCGAAGCGAGCTCTTACTCTCGGGATGGAAGACAATGAGCCTGATGTATAAAGTTCCATTATGTTGACAGCAACGACTATGAGCTCAGCGCCACCCGTCATTTATATCGTAGTCAGTTTCCCCTGGTCAAACTAAACCTAAGTGAAGCCGTCTCTCGGAAGAGTCAGAACATCCGTCACGATCGTTTCTCAAACATGTAATTGCCACGCTCCAGAGCTCGGCGCACCGAATCCCAATAGGCCGTAACCCTGGAAGAAGACACCCAGTAGTTTCCTAGAGAGTCCTGACCTGTGATCAAGTAAAGTTCGGTGAACTTGAATGGCCCCTGAACGTTTTGAATGTAGACCGGCCTCACTGGATGGTCGCAGGGCGTGCTCGCAGCGGCAGAAAAGTCAACGTTGTAGAATTCCGCTTTCTGCCAATTCGAGAACGTTGCTTGGTGCACTACGACCATGTCAACTCGGACTTCTTGCTCAATATAAGTGTCAAAAATAAATGTTATCACTACTTACTGCTCATGTTGCCAAAAAATGGCGGAAATTTCGCCTCTCCAGTACCACGCACCATTTTGCAGTACGCTTCGATTTGTCCTTGGCTAGTCTGTGTCTGAATCGCGTGCCGAACTCGCTGGGCTGCGTAGCCCAGAGGCTTCTGTAGGAGGTCTCGAACGGTCAACATGACATTGAAAAAGTTGATGGCGTTGGAGACGTAGGGCTGCCCCGATGGCAACACAGTGCCACTCAAGGCCTTGCGTATACAAAAGACGTTTTGTAAGGCGACCTTGCATCCACTGTTAGTAATCTCTATACAAAGTTTCGGTACATGGTCTCGTTCACCGTTCGAGTCGATGTTGGGCTGTAGTGCGAAACAGTCAGGCGACTAAGCCAGGCTACCAGAATATCGCCATCGGTCAGGAAATGATCCTTCTTATCCGGGAGCGAATCAGCCAATTCTTTCAAAGCTTGTGCTTTTAGATCTCGAAGGAATTGCCCTGGAATGCACAGCACATAATTTTTCTGTGGACGAATGAACATGTCATAAGCATTGTTCAGCGCCCAGCCAATTTGACCAAAAATCCCAAGTTGGATATCCGCTAACGAATGTGCTTCGCTCGGCTCGTGGCCAAGCACTTGCAGAGGATCGGCTTCGAGGCTAACAGGTTCTTGGATTTCGTCTTCACGCCCTTGCAACATCAAGAGCCATGCGTCAACGATTGCTCGTTTTCCCATTGCATCGAATGCGATGTGAAGCCAGTTCACGACCACAATCGTGGCATCGACAAATGAGAGAATGTGAAGACCGAGTATTGATTTATCCGAGAGGAGATAGTCTTCGCGCTTCAAGGGACTGTCAGGCCCCAGGTAAAGAGATTCGAAAGTCTCTGCATCTGCGACGATAGCCGGGTTCGCGGTGGGTTTTGGCAGCTGCGAAGCAACAGGATGCTCTGAAATGGGAAAGTCATGTTGCACGTGAGTGTGAGTAATGGGACGTCGTTCTGCTGAGAATTCTGAAGGCACGTGGTATTCCAAATGGCCAGATGCCTGACATCATCTTAGCACAACGGCGCCTCTCAATCGCATCCCATGTGAACGATTTACGTTTTTCCGCAGACGGGCAGATAGCTTCTCCCAACCCTTTCGCTGCACAAGAGCAGAAAGTGCACTTGTGAGTCTATCAGCATCTAAAGGCGTGTCGAAGACAACCATGGAATGCAGGACAAAGGTGGTCAGCATGAATGTATTGTCAAAAGTCGGTAAGGGCACCACCTTATCGGTGGGCACCTTCGCGGGCGGAGTCTTGGCCTTGCCGAAGAACATCGTTCCAAAGGTCATTACGAAAGGGTTGTCCTATAAGAATTTAGCTCAAAATAGTGGCGCCCGGGCCGTGATATTATTTCGCGGGAAAATAAAAGCAACACTGGCGTTCGACAAAGTTGCAAGGGCCGAAGCTTTATGTGCCGAGTCTTACATGATCTGAGATGCCGCCATGGGCCGAGCTCCGGGAGCTGATTTGCTCTCCCGCTGCGTGAGCTAGTCCCGAAGTTTGAACAAGCTTGTTCTTCTCTGCCTTTGCGCTTACCGATACTCTGTCTCCTTGGCGTGGGGAACATGAACGCCTGACAACAAGCTTAAAAACTACGTTAAAATGCCTTCGTCATAACCTTCATATGTCACTCGTAGATCTCGTGTCACCTAATCCTGGGTTCATTTCATGGACACAGGAATCGATCTGAGGTATATGCATTAGAGTGAAGGGGGAGATAGCACATGCAAAGAAAAAGGGCTGGCACACACGATCAGGTCTCGCAAAGTTGATCATGACCTTGGGAATGAGAGAAGTCGGCAGCAACACGGCAGCGCCTCCGATAGAACCTCCAGCGACTCTTTGATTTATAATGATATCTATTCTCTGAGATGGTCGGAGAAAATGTTCTCGATCTATGCATGAGCCGGAGCAAGGCTGTCGGGAACAGGCGGTTGGAACTCGGTACAGACGTGCCACTTGTGGAAAGTGTTGGTGGTGCAGCAGTCGACACGGTTGAATAGCGCTGTTTGGTATTTCACGGAGTCCAGCGAGCCAGGAGCATAGATTGAAACCTGTGTACCGACAGCGACTGTGACTTGGGCCGGGAGCAAGACTTTCGCAGACCCGCCGATTTGGACAGCGACCAGAGCATTCGGGTAGGGGTCCTCGATGATGTCGTAGTACTTGTACTGCACGTAGCCCGGAAGGTTCTCGAACAGCGTGACGGTGAAATGGTTCTGGTTGTGACCAAAGTTGAGTGTACCAGCGTACCATGAGAAGACCACAGTGCGAGCTCCGGGAACACCAGCGACGCGGTAGAAGAGACCATCGTCGCCGTTGGGAACTCCGCCGTAGAGGTACAATCCGCCTCCCTGGCCCGTGAAGGCGTTAAGGGTATTGCCGGCAATATTTATGTAACCATCGACACCGACAGTGACCGTAGAACCAAGCTGTCCTCCGATACCGACAGAGAAAGGCAATTCAATATCTGACGAAACACCATATCCAACTACTCCATTGTTGATACCGATCTCGCCGTTCTCCCAGGTACCAAAGATTGGGGTAAAGTCCTTGTAGCCAGGGACGACTGGCGGCGCGACACAGGTGTCGATCTTGCAAATGGGCTGTCGGTCTGCACGACTGTAGAAGAAGCTGGAGCTGAAAGTGTTTTTCGTACCGGCGCTGTCGTTGTAGGTGCCAGTGTTCTTGCCGTACTTCTTTCCGTCCCAGTACGAAGTGTAGAAGGCACACTTCTGGCCCTGTACTGTTGAGGCACCGGACCTGTCGGTGGTAGTCAAAATGTAAGTACCAAATGCAGCGCACTTGGTGTTGGCATCGCAGGCAGCGGCGCATCGGGCAGGATCGAATGCTCCTTCCTTGAAAAGTTTGGAGCCGAGGAAAGTATAGGTGCCAGCGCAATCCTTGACCGGCGCGTTTATGGTCGCAGATTCCAAGCACTGAGGTGCACCATAGTTGGGAAGCGCGCCGCCATACTTCGGCACAGGGTAGCTGCTTGGAGTGGGCGAGGAGGAGGGCGGTGCGCTGCCATAAGACGAGTGGGCAGCAGCTAGAGCGGCGAGAGCCGGCACCAAAGCTGTGAGACGAAGCATGGCGACAGAAGCAATGAGCGTCTAGTCAAGGTAGAATAATGGGTGCGCAAATTCGGCTATGCGAAAGAACGAACAAAGTGATGTCGGATCAGATTGATGGAAACTTTGAGCAATTTATGTTCGTCTACCCCTCATGTCCTTCAACCGCCATCTGCACTTCAAAGAGTCTGATTTGCATTGCTGCAAGGCCGGACCGCGAATGAAGCATCATGGGACATCAACGTGCCTTTCCGAGGTACATGCATATGTTTTATTGCATTCAGCCACGAAATGCTGGCGTGTCCAAGCACATGTGTAGGGCTGTGGGGCGCATATGAGCGGAGCCCTCCTTATTCCTAGAAGGCCGTCATCAGATCTGGTCTTGTCATGATCATCGACAACGCCTCTTGGACGGAATTGTATAAACTCGCCTATTTCCAGCTTAGAGGAGCAGGTATCGGCAAAATATTCCATTCATGTCAGAGCTGTGCAGCGTGATTCCTGCATTGAGCGAAGAACACCTCAACATGGCACCTCGATTGGGCTGGACCTGACCACATGGAGGCTGCGGGGAGGCCGAGAATGGAGAGAATTGGCTTGTTCCTGGTGCTTGTGAGGCTTGAGATAAGATTAAGCTTTACAGAAACTATGGGAACTTCCGCGATGGACCATATGGGTGCTGACTTTCGGATTTCTATACCCCTTGTGGCAAGGCGTGACGGAACGCGGGAGGCTTTTCCACAAGAAGCTAGCATACGCTACATTTTCCCCCATCCGTCTCTCCACTCAACGCGACGACTTCCTGATACGACGAGCTCCTTTCTCCTATCGACATAAATAGTGAGTACTCGAGTACAGTTTTGCCTCGATTCCGACGAAGCTCCAGCGTCCCTGCTGCCACCACGTGCGCGATGCATGACTTAGTCAAATTGTGCGGGCAGCAAAATGCTTCTCTGGAGAATTTTCATGCTATCAGCAATCCCCGCTCCGGGGTAAATCGAGTAGCAACGGATCTTCGAACAGGATGTTGAGGTATGCGTGGAGCAGAGGGAGCAGATCGCCACACGTCTTGCGATTATGACGCAGCAAAATCTATCATGAAATGTCTGATCTCGCTAGATTATGCACAGTGTAATGGGTATGTGTCGAAAATTATTGTACTTTTGATCGAGAATGGTATCGAAATGGCATCGCCGTGCCCAGTTCAACCTCTGAAATAGGTCATTGAACTCTCCACATTGAGCCAATCTCTGCAATGTTTCTGTGTCATATTGCATCATCACCTCAAGACCCTCTCCTAGGCCTTTTCTTGTCGGCATTAGTATGCAACGACCATCAGGTTTTCCTTTTGGGATACCCACGCTGCAGCGGTATGCAGAGCTGACACCTAGTACCTGTCCGAAATCAATGGGTCCGAAACCAATGGAGTGTAAACAGACGATGAGCATATCGGGGCCCGGCCAGCGGTTGACATCCCATGTCAATGAGGTAGCTTGTGGCATGTGCTGAATGAGGTTGACGAGACGTCGGACAGCAGCATTGTCGACACTCCTGATTGCCTGTTTAATTTGCTTGATTGTTGAAAGTAGAGGCGAAGTCTCTGGACTTTGATCTGAGGCGATGGCATCGTTACGAGATTCTGTCTCGCTGGAAGCGGGCTTGATAGGCCACGGGTTTGGTCCACAAAGTAATCGAATTGGCATGCGCGCAACCTGCGGAGATGATTTGATCAGTTTGACACGTCGAGAAGTCGAAAATGCATCTAGCTATGCACGAACCGCGTTAGGCTCCGAAAGGTTACCCCAATATCTGGGTGAGCACAGAGGATTTTGCATCCTTGTCCGCGTGTTGACAGGTATCGATAGTCTAGACTCTGGGAATTCGTCGGCGTTTATGTTTCGTGCTTTGACAACGTTGCGCCAGATAAATGCGCAGATGGCTTCGGTGGGCGACGGCCTTTGAGCTGAACCCGTAGACAGCATGGCGATCAATCTGCTGATGTTTGCCGCGGAGATGAAGTAGCTTGCAAATTTGACGCTGGGGTACTGATGAATATCATATCGAGAGACTCCCGATACTGTTTCGCCCTCGCAGGCCAATTTCCAGCCAGGGAAGTCGCAGACAGTGCCACTTGGCCTTGGGTTAAAAATGGCCAGACGATTTGATAATTGAGCACTTGCGCTGGATTCTGACACAAACTGTAGTCCTGCAGTGACGTCCGATACATTTCGTCCGAGGGTCTTCCAGAATAGTAGGGTCCCGGTACCATCACAGATCGTATGCTAAAGTAGAAGAAGTCAGGCTATATTGCTGCACGATGATATCAAAACTCGAACACACTTACATGAAGACATCCGGTAAGTATCAGTCCGCCATCGATAAAATTTGCTTGCATTACAAGACTCGCTTGCCAGCTCCGATCTGGGAATTCTGTCTGAGCAAGGACGTGCTCGCGTGGTAACATGTTGAGGTCAAAATGAGACTGCTCAAGGTCCTTGAAACTTCCGGGAATCCATCGCTGACGCAGGTTGGGCTTCGTGTAGTCTTTCAGGCATATAGTTGCGGCGGAGTCGTGATTGAAACACAATTCCAGCTCGTCACGTTCATTGCGACTTCTGCAGACGCTGCTCATCAGCTCTGGGATTTCTCGCGAGGTGCGGAGCAGCCCTTGCTCCAGGATTCGGTAAACAGCGAGAATGTCGACATCTTGTGGGAGGGAGAAGAAATAATATATGGTAACGTAGTCTCGCGGAGCGATTTGATCGATAGCGTTGAGCTTTATCGTCTTACCCAACTCGCGATCAGCGGGCTTGATTGTGGTCATGAGTGTATCCATCGTATTGCAGTGTGTAGGTGATCAACCTCACTGTCTAGACAACGAGGGTGTGAAACTCTCTCTTCTGTTTGAGGATGATGTGTACACAGAATTGCGCGCGATTGCCCATCCTCAGCTTCCAAATAAGGCTATGTAGAATCAAGCAGCCATGCAGCGCATGTCCACCGACACATGATTATGGCAACGCACGTTCACGTCCAAACTCTCTACAGCTCTTAGCATGTTACACGTGCCCACCGCCATCGTTGTTGAGATGCCGCGCCCAATGCGCTACGATCACTGTGCATATCGTGCCTACGCTGCTTTAGCATATCTTAGTGTAAGATACGTGATATCCAGTTCAGGGTAGTCTGATACGCTTGAGGCAACCAATCATGCGGTACGAGCCTACGTCCGATATACTAGAGTTTCGCGAGTCTGGAATTTGTCCTGTGAACCGTTGTAGCTGCCTTGTACGAGTGCGAAAGAACATGGTAAAGTACGTTGCTGGCGCCGAACCATAGATAAAACTGTTTCAACGGGATATTCTGGTGATCAGACTTTTTTTGACACGATAGCCGCGATTCATCACCGACTAAGCTTACTAGACGGGCTTCACTTCGGTGCTGAGCATCATCACTTCTCGGTTGGTGATCCCTGCATTTTCCCGTTTCGGGTTGTTTTCGTCGAGTGTGTTGAATGGTTGAAGGATGACGGTTTGGATAAGGGTCTTAGTGCGGCAAGCACGTGCGTGTGGCGCGCGTTGAGGAATGATGATCTTCAGGATGTGCCGAAGCCGGTGAACAACCGGCGTCTTGGCTCCGCGACGGTCAATGCGACCGTTTCGTCTATTAGCCTCTCGATCTGTGCTAGCAACGGCCGAACCTGATCGTAGGACCTGCACCATCACGTGAGATTATCACTCTCATGGAAGTCTTACACGGTTCTGAGCCGCGATGATGACATCGCGGTCGAATGTAGACATCGGCCTGGACGTGGAAATCATTTTGTCGACCAGCAAAGCTCTCTGTATCTCTTGTGTTCAGGGTAAGGAGCTGGTCATCAGGCAGGCAAGATCCGCACTGAGACCTTTGATCAGCGATGACGATAGAAGTGAGCCTCATGACGATGTTGCGTCTCCTTCATGCAGGGCGACAACGGTAGTCGGACTATCCATGGTCATTCATTTCGCTAGTGCCCGTTGAACCATCACAAAGTTACGGTCAAGTTCGAAGGACATACCATGGCCGAAGCGTACGATCACGTCGAGGGCGTATCTGTCCCAAACCGGATATGTGTCTACAGACTGAAGTTATCTCGCTGTGATAACTCCTCAACATGATTTCCTTGGGTTCACAGGCGCTCTCATTGAGCTAAGCTGTTGTCAGAAATCCGCGCCCATCTACTTTTTCTCCAGCCTCACCTGAATGACAAGTTGCATTCGATCATTTCCAAGACACATTGCAAAGGCTTCACAAATGAGTACCGAATCTCAAGTCTTTCCGCGACAGCGAAACTCAAGGTTTGGCTCCTCGTGGGTCCAGCCCGTTACAGAAATAACGCCTGAGACGATTGAATGCTTCGCCATCGAGAATTTATGCGCGCGTGTCTGGCCAGCTCCAACAGTTTTCTTCCCACTGCAAGACGATGACGATTCCATCAGCTTATTCACCAAACTTGCGCAAGGACTCGCTCGCTTGCTCTACCGATATCCTGTCCTCGCTGGAAGACTAAAATCTGATCATCGTGGCGCCTGTCGAATTGAGATCTTGCCAGCGCCCCATGCCGGCACACAATTCTTCTTCGCAGACCTTAGTGGGGATCATGACTTTCCCAGCTTCGAAGAGTTGCAAAAGTCGAATTTCCCTTATGCCGATGGAGATTCGGATGGACTGCGCGCTCTTCGACCGGACCCTTTTGCCCTGGAGAGAGATGGGCACTCCCCTTTCATATCTCAGCTCTCGCGCGTACAGGGCGGTCATATCTTGACGTTCGCGTTCTCCCATCAAGTAGCCGACATGGTGATGTATCGAGGAATCGTTGAGACGTGGGCCAGGGAGACTCTTGAAGTATCCAAGGCTAAGCTGCAGGGGAGACCCATCAGTCCCATGCCTCCATCTCTCTGGCGTGAGCTATCCGACAGAGCCCGCTTTCCTGCTCAGAAAGCGAAACCTCGGGATACAGATGGAGCAATGAATACCAGCCGCGTTCTGCCGCTCTGGATTCTTGTCGATCCAACGATTCTGTCCACGCTCGAAGACATGGGCTCTATCATACCACTTGCATATTTACCACCAGCACCATCACAAGTCGAGATCAATCAACGCGTCCCGATCACGGGAATCTGGCGATTTTCTCGAGCTATCGTGAAGGATCTGCAGCAGAGTATCTCTTCCATATCTCAGGGCCAGATTCGGCTCTCTTCCATGGACATACTTACAGCATTCCTCTGGGAGAGGTTCGTCACTGCCAAATACATGCTCTCGAGGTCGGACGCAACATCGCGTGTGCCTCCAAAGAGCTCTTCCATTGTTTTTGCCCTCGATATACGTCGCAGAGTGGACCCACCACTTCCTGATCAGTACTTACCTGCGTGCGTAGACTTAGCACGTTGCTCAGCCCCGCTTGCAACGGAAGACAATAGACTCAATACAATTGCATCGATGGCGGAAAAGATTCGCAAGGCTAACGAGACATGGAATGAAGAGGATCACAAGAGTATGCTGGCCTTGACACGGAGCGCCCCGGTCTCTCCAGGGGTAGTCCCGCGAGGCCCAATCGACCTGTTGGTCACTGACCACTCGCGCATTCCCGAGGTGGTATCTTCAGACTGGGGACAAGGTCTGGGAGTACCGGTCGCTGTACGCGAGCCATATCTCGGCCGGTCAATTCCCACGGGCGAGATTACTATACTACCTCGGCGTCCGAATGGTGATCTGGAGGTTATGGTCTGTGGAGAGCGGATCGTGCTTGAGAGACTTGAGCGCGATGCAGAATTCGCTCGACGGGCCAAATTGTTGTTTCTACAACACGATGTGGTCGCGGGATGTAGGAAGCGCCGAATGAGGCAAAGATTGTGAAAATCCCTTTGAAAAATTGTATTCAGCTATTGCGGATCGACGTTCATCGTCGCGGATGAAAAATATCATATCTTGGCATCAAATTCCTGCCTCGTTAATCGTCCCTTCGGAGCCTCCCCTCAGAAACGGTCGTCGAGCAGTACATCGACTTGTGTCTTGTTAATCTTGCGACCAGTATTTTACATCCTTTTCCATTTTCAAAATGCTGCCTTCTTCCCGTTGTACTTCAACGCAAAAACGCCTCGCTCAATGCTGTTCAGCAGGATATACCCGCTCTTGAAATACGGATACACACTCCACGTACCCAAGAACGCAACCTCCCCACCAGTCGCATCGTCCTCGGGATGACAATCAAAGAATCCCGTTTGCACAATATTGCCGCCAGTGGGATCTTGCGGTACGCCACTGACATCAATGATACGTAGACCGCTGCCGTAGTTCGCCTGGTAGGAGAGACCGGCTAGGGTGTATTGGTTGTGGTCAATGGACTTGGCGGGAGATTGGTAGAAGCCCGTGTTATTGGGAGCATGAAGGTCGGAAACGTCGAAGAGGTAGGTCTGTGGTCAAGTTAGGTCCATGCTTGGTTTGTGGAAAAGATCTTGGAGTGAAACTTACTGTCGTGCGGTTCACGCCTCCACCGAGTTCACCGGCTGGCGGACCTTCGCCTTCAAGCTCATCCAACTCGTCATCCAACAACAGGTGGGTCATGGTGTCATCGATCAACCAGCCCTGGTGAGTGTACGCGTTGCCGACATATGGCGTCTCACTGATGATGGCCACGGCAGACTTGTTGGTAACGTCGTAGATGGTCAGGGTGTCTTCATTGTATCCGAAGCAGATCTCCTTGCCGACGAACTCGGTGGTAGGGCCCTTGTAGATGACGCACTGTGCGTCGTGAACATAGCCGCCTGCGCCAACGCAGCCCGGAGACGTTGGGTTGGCAGGATCGGAAACATCAACCATGAACAGACCGCCCGCGCAGGGCGTATTGCGGCTGTTGGCACCATTGCGACCACCGACGGCGTAGATCATGTCGGTCTCCTCATGAGCGACGATATTGTGAGAGGCACCGAAGCCCGCATAGTGGGCGGTGAGGTCCACAGCGTTGAGGAACACACGCGGGTATCTAGGGTTAACTTGGAGGAGTTTCCTGAGATCGAAGATCTGTAGACCGTGATCTGTAGCTTCGGATCCAATGTAGACGTGGTTCTTGATGACTTTCATATCACGCCATGAGGTGGGGGTCGTGTAGGTATCGAGACGCCCGAGATAGATCAGCTGGCCGTTCCTGACAATCTCCACAAAAGCGACACCATCGGTCTGGCCGACAATACCAAACTCACGGCCATTCGCGGATGTCCAGCCCCAGATGTCGTTCCCGGCGAGGGTCTTTGAACCGAGATCTTCGTGGGAGAGGAAAGCGTGCATGTCAACATTGTTGCACATGTATTCGCCTGCGTAGCCATTGACGCATTTGGTGACACCATTGGATTTCTTGTACTTCCGGGATCCGGCGAACAAGCCATTGGCAGCAGCCTCCGCCCATTGCTGGGTTTTGAGCGACATCATCTTCTCCATTTTGGCGACATTGAATTGTCTAGAGGCCGCTACCATAGAGGTACCGAGCACACCGGCGAGTAGAATGCCGACCTTCATGATGGGTGAAATGTACGAATGTAGGCCGTAGCGATAGAGGTTCGTATAAGGCGTGCTCAAGGCGGTTCTGCCACCTGCTTCACACTACTTTATAGCATATTGCCGTTGTATTCAATCGGAACAACCCAAAGATCGTCGACAGCATGCTGACAGGCTATTGAGCGGGTCTGTGTCCAGAATCGATGGCAGAACCGTCTTGGGTGTGATCGTGATTTCTTGGTATGACCTCGCCTCGAACTGCATTATCTCCAAGAGCGGATACTGTATTGTGTATGGCTATCGAACGCTATCTGTCTTCCCATGCAGATCAAACAGCCGCAACAATGCCTTGCACAAGAGAGCATCATCACATAGCGCCGGACAGCCGGACCTCGAGTCATTGCCACAGGATCGCGCTTGATGCTTGTAGATAAGGCCCCGGAAGAGAGGCGCAATGGTTGGTTGCAAAGGAGAGATGACGGCGATCGACATCCCCACATCAGCTATCCGATAAAGTTGAAGAGCTTGGCAGAGACTGTATCGAAGGAGTTGAACTGCTGAGTTACATATCGACGGGTCTTGATTGGTCTTCGCGATGTCTTGGCCGCCAAGGCTTTCCACTCCCGTTTGGGCAGGTCAACACACGAATGTTACTGTAGGTGGATGTGACACTATCCCCGTCCGCATAAACGTGTACTGTAACCTCACCTCCGCTCGACAAAGTGCGTGAAGAACGGAACGCAAATGTTGAGCTCTTATCTTGTCCATGACCGGGACGCCTCTCCTCAGCATCCCCACATGATGGAATACCAGGCTTATCGTTGATGTAGATGATTGTACTCGCACTCGCACTCGCAGACTCACCATGTTAGTTTCGTATGGTACATTTCGGAGAGTGCGATCGTGGAGCCAGCACACGCGTCACCAGAAAATGGTCTTTATTGTGTATCGCGACAAGATATGAAACATGTCTTTTGAATGTTCACAAATCCTTCCGACATAGAATGTTGCCTCAGGCCTTACAGGTTCTTGTTTGTGCAAGCGAACAAAAATCAGGTCGCAGCTCCGGGGGATCCTGCCTACAAGGAATCACTGAGGCTCGGCCCGGAGAGACCGAAATTCTTGTTCAGCAGGCACTAGCACATGCCTTGGAAATGTAGGCGTAGCCTTCCCTGTGAGGAGTCGAAAATCGAGCTGCAATATTCTATCACAAAGCACACACATATGCAACGTCTTGGTGTTTGGTGGAGATGATCATGATATGAATGGCTTTATCTATACGTCGATGGTCCTGAAACTCAAATTATCCCCTCATGTCGATCAAAAGCTCACCCATCAAGTTTCTGGTACACGAAGCTGTCAGGCGAGGAGTCGAATTCTCAGACCTGACTCCCGCTTGTTCATTCCGACGTGTTCCCTCGAGGTCGATGCTGGACACGAATGACAGGTATTTCCGTCTGCTGGCCCGTATGAACTAATGTCATGTCTTCAGGACGCGACGCTTTAGTGAGATCGCCCTTGGCCCGGGCTCTAAATTGTCGTCGAAGCCTCTCTTGGCCTATGGAAACGGCCTCAGTGCGGCGCAGCAAACTTCTCTGTGGTCGAAAATGGACGCTCAAATCTCAAGGACCGCTCAAGTCGCGGTCTCACGACTACAAGTTCGCCCAACACATTGTCCTGCACCCTCATCAAAATGTCATTCAATGATCTCGCTCCAGAACTGCTCTCGATTATTGTAACGTGTCTTCGCGAGTCTGGAGGGCAATTGTCCAAATATGCGACAATTTCTAGCGCCTTCCGCGGAGCTATCGAGTCTGCCCTGTTCGCAAAATTGACACTCCGGTCAAATGAATTTGACGATTTCAAGCGGATTGTGAAGCCTGACTCACCTGGTCGACGAGAGCTTCTCAGTGTCCTCATGATAACAGTCTTGCTTCCTCCTTATGAGGATGCCGAATGCGCGTTCTACGAGCGCGAGCCCGACCGAACATCGAACAACGAGTCGATAACCAAAACATTCTTCACACTCTTCGAGATGTTGTCGCAATGTCCTAAATGCACATCTGCCCGTCCTATCGAATTGCACATATGGCAATTTCACTCTCCAACGGATTATCCGCATAGGGCGACATCGACCCAGGACAAATGGGACGCGGATATGAGCAAGCGCCACGACCTTTTTCGTCATCGATACGAGCACTCGTATCTCTGCTTTGTGGAAGATGACTTCGTTAAGCTACCAATTGTGCCCCGAGTTACGGAGTTATTTTTCCGCGGAGGCGTAGATCGACACGTAGCTCCTGCTGCAGCTGCTATGCTTGCACAAAAACTTCCAAACCTCAACAAAATCGGTTGGGGACTATACGACAATGATAGCAGACGTCCAGAGCTCCGCTCCACTTTACGCCAAGAGTTTTCTCGATGCCTGACTGCTTTGCGAACGCCAAATTTGAGACACTTCAGGCTCGTGTACCTAAACATATCACCAAGCAACGAAGGATTTCGCAATGCTAATCTCATGGGAGCTGACGGCTGTGATCCTCTGAGTACTCACCTTCGTTTGTATTTACAGACTTGCGATCTTGTCACGATCCAGCTCACAGGGCCAATTTGTCTTGGGCCCGAGTTCTTTTGGTCGGCTACACTGCAAACGGAGCTGGGAACGGGATGGCCAGCTTTGAAAACCTTTGATATTGACCTGTCCCTTGTACGTCCTGATGGTGGCTGGTAACTCCAACGTGACCCTCATGCCATCATAGACCCTGATGATGAGGATGAGGATTTCGACCCACATCAGGCTGATGACGATGATACTTTATCCGATAGCTCCGGCCCCTCCTCCTCATTTGACGGGTCTGAAGACTCTTTCTTTGAAGAAGGCGAACGCAAACCGGAGCAATACGATTATGATCGCGAGGAACGAAGGGCAGGCCGCAAACCTGTGCGTCAGTTCCGAACTTTCCCTACTCCGGAGCTGGAGATCCTTTTTGAAGCTGCCGCTCGCTTCGCGGCTCGTGTGGCTCATGTGGAACGATTCGCGGCAGGATTTAGTGTCTACCGGCGTGCAGGGGACGCAGATTTCGACTTTATGTTCGACGCTGGCAGAACTGAACGTTCTGCGAGCAAGGGCCTCGCTCAGAGAGGACGAAACAGACTACTGTGGAGAGCGCCACGAGGTTGGCGTATGGGTCCTCAGCTGGAGCGGCTCTGGACTGAAGTTGTGGCCGAGCGCGGAGTAGTTGTATACGAAGAATGGTCATGACGTGTGTGTGCGAAGAATTGCGACATCCTCCACTTTCGTCGCGAAGGTCAACTTCTTTCATTGTCTGCTGGCACGTTGTGAGATAATGGCTGCCTCAGGTTAGAAGGGCATCAGACTGCGTGTAGCACGCGGAGATTACCAGTCACAGTGCGCACTTCTGGTCGGTATTTCCCCCGTGACAAAGCATCTATATTCTTCCGCTTAGAGTAGCTAATGTCGCTGTCGACACGCGAGGGACTGTGGCATCAGGGCAGGTAGACACGGCGAGTCAATGCAGAGTGACAACTTGCACCCGCCGCTGCGTTTAATGATAGACGACGGAAATGCTGGTGAGAGCAGAACCCTAGTGCACCAGAGACTGTGCCGCAAACGTCGGACCCATCAACACAACACCACCCTCTCTCTCATCTTGTGGTCGATATCTGATTCCGGGAAAGACTCAGTGCGGCACAGTCAGCGCTGTCAAGGCCCAAAGTTGAGGATTCGGTTGTCCGGTGCTCAGACACCAGCGAGCACAGCAGTGTCAGTCTATCATTCACATCGATTGCCTCGCATTCATGAACCGCATGTTCGCAGAGTAGAACTCAAGATTTTGAGAAAGTCAGAGACTACATTCGCAGGATGTCGTTCAGTGATCTTGCGCCCGAGCTTCTAGCGATGGTCGTGACGCATTTGCGGCGGCCAAACAGCCGCCTGTCTGCATACGCAAGTCTCTCACGTGGGTTTGGTGCTGCTATCGAGGCCATTACCTTCTCTGAGCTTCGACTTACTTCCGAAGAATTTGACGACTTCGAGCGAATCGTTCGTCCTCAATCGCCGGGTCGGCGAGACATCTTGGGCTCCGTGGACTTCCATGCTGTACTACCGACATACACTGATGAACAATGTGCATTGTTCGAGCGGGAGACTGATAAGCACCTGAACAATGAAGCATTCACCCGAAGCATAACAAGACTATTATCAATACTGTCGTACTGTCGCGAAGGTTCGACGGCTCGGCCAATCAATCTCCGAATCAATTACTCCTACTCTCCAAAAGACATTTCTCATCGCGAGACTGGCGCACAAGACCGTCGAGACGTGGAAAACAGAAAGCGTCAAGATTTGTTCGAAGATCGCTATAAGCACTCGTACCTCAGTTTCCTGAAGCGAGAGTCGACGAGCCTGCCCGTCGTGCCACGGGTCACAAATCTTAGGATTGATGGACAAATATATCGACTCATCGCACCAGCAGCCGCGGGAATACTTGCATCGAGTCTTCCGAAGCTTGACGCTGCCGAGTGGATGTTTGGTGATGACAACAGCAGATATCCAGAGTTGCGTGTGAAGCTGCGCAATGACTTCGCCCAAAGTCTAAATGGTCTACGCTCTCCGGGTATGACAGACTTCAAGCTAGACTATAGGACTCGATCGCCGAACAACGAAGGATTTCGCAATGCAAACTGTCTTAGAGATGATGGGGTTGATCCCCTCAGTTTACAATTAGGCCTGTACCTTCAGACATGTAATCTGGTATGGGTCCATCTCAGCGGACCTATTTGTCTTGGGCCCGAATTCTTCTGGTCAGACGGCGATGGTGAGCAAACAGGACTCGCGTCGGCTTGGCCGGCACTCAAGACCTTCGAGCTTGAGCTCTCACCAGTACGACCGGATGGCGGATATTACTTTCAGCGCGATCCCAGGGCGAGACGAGAATACGAGGACCCAGAAGATCTGCCAGACATCGACGATGTCCTTTCAGACAGCTCTGACAACAATGCCTCGTTTAATGGCTCTGAGGAATCTTTCTTTGAAAGGGACGAGACTGTACCAGATGTGTACGACCACGTGACTGAAGAAACACGTTCGGGCGACCTGCCTGATCGCCTATTCCGAGCATCACCTACCCCGGAGCTTGAGGAATTCCTCGAAGCTGCCGCCCGATGCGCGGTCCACATGCCTCACGTAGAGCGTTTCTCCGCTGTGTTCGATGTGCCTGCGCCAAGGAAGCAATTCGGGTTTGAGTTTATGACTTGCCGACCACAGGCCCCTGCAGGCATGGAGTCCGATGATTCTCAGCGGAATCGATTGATGTGGACCGTGTCGCGAGACTGGCGTATGAATTCCACCATCGAGACCATCTGGGCCGGGGCGCTTGGCGAGAAGGGAATCGTCAAGTACGAAGAATGGTTTGTGGAAGAGTTTTGACGAACAAAAAACTGCTTGCTTGTTTGCCATCGATATTGCAGATTCTAGACTGCGTTTTGCTTTCCCCAACCTCAACCCTGTTGTGCAGCTAAATAGCTATGTGGTATATGACTGTTTTGCAGCCACCGTAGTGTGATAGTCGAGCTTCTCCCCCATCGTTATATTCGAATCGATTCAATGTTCTCCATCGAAAAGTCTTTTGCTGCAACGGAATTAGGCCTCTGGCTCGCGGAATGATGTTTCTACTGATGCACGTCGGGCTCGACGTCGGTGTCTTGGCCTGAGTCGGTCAGGTAATGGGCACGTCGACCATCGTGACGATCGGGCTTGCCTTGACGGGCTATGCACCATCTCGGTGTGCAACATCGGAACGTATGCTTCGATCGTGAACTATTTCGGCTCAACCGTCTGTATTTCGAATGCTTTTCAGGCCGAGGCGGAGTTCAGTGCGGCACAGCGGATACGGGGCAGGGCAAAAGTCGAGGATCTTGGGTTAAATAATGTGCACTACCTCTAGCAACATCGCAACACCGCCGTATGACGCGCGATGTTCACGCGTGCTCTCAACATAATGTCCTTCGCTCAATTGGCGCCAGAATTATTGTCCATCGTCGTGTCATGCCTGAAACTTTCTGGAGAACGCTTGTCCAAGTATGCTACGATCTCGAGTGCTTTCCGTGGGTCTGTTGAAGCTGCTCTTTTTGCCGATCTAAAGTTATCGTCGCAGGAGCTCGATGACTTCGAGCGAATTATCATCCCTCGATCTCCTGGCCGGCGAGATATCATTGGCGACCTGACTTTGACCATCATCCTACCGACGTATACAGAGGCGCAATGCGCATTCTTCGAGCGCGAACTCGACCAGCGCATCAACAATGAAGCATTTACCAGCAGTATGCTCAGGCTCTTTTCCATGCTACAACATTTTCGGAGCAGGCCTCTGAAGCTACGATTATACTACATTTACTCTCCTATGGATCTTCCCTACAGAGCGGATCCTACTAAGGCCCGATGGGATGCGGATATGGGAGCACGCAAAGATCTCCTAACGCATCGCTACGAGTACTCGTATCTACACTTCCTTGAGGAACGATTAGAAGATTTACCGATAATATCTCAAATCACAGAATGGCATGTTAGTGCAGACACTCCAAGACTTTTGGCTCCAGCAGCAGCAGCAATGCTCACGTCAAAGTTTCCCAGTATACGGAACATCGATTGGGACCTGAATGATCAAAATCGCAGATCTCCACACGCACGATCTCGTTTGCGTCAAGAGTTCTCACGTCATTTAGCCAATCTGCGCACGCCAAATGTGTCGAATTTCAAGCTTGGGTATATGCATTATTCCCCACCTAACGAGGGTTTTCGTAATGCAAATCTGCTATGTGATTCCCTCGACCCTTTCAGTACGAGTTTGCGCAAATATCTTCAGACTTGCAATCTCGTTAGAATTGTTCTTAGTGGACCTATTTGCCTTAGCGGCGACTTTTTCTGGGTAGCAGGCGAGCAGAAGGGCCTTGCAGAAAGCTGGCCGTTGCTCAAGACATTTGATCTTGATCTTTCTATCGTTCGCCCTGATGGCGGCTGGTACCTACAGCGCGATCCTGGCGCAAGCCCAGGGTCTGACGAAGAAGGACTGCCTGACGACGATCGAAGCCTCTCCGATAGGTCAGACGATGACTTTTCCCTCCATGGTTCCGATTTATCCTTTGGGACGGGTGAGCGTTCTCCAGACGTCTATAATCACAGTCACGAGGATCGATATGCAGGTCGTGAGCCTTGCCGTACCTTCCGAAGCTACCCAACCTCCGAGCTGGAGGAGCTTTTCGAGGCCGCTGCACATGCTGCACGCCACATGACACATGCAGAGAGTTTCGCTGCTGGGTTTAGTAACATTCGTCGTGATGGGGATCTCTATGACCTTGACTTTCAGTTCTTTACAAGTGGACACGGAGGCTTCGGGCAACTCCCGGCTCACGAAATTCGATATAATCGACTATTGTGGCGAGTGCCTCGTGGTTGGCGTATGGGGCCTCAATTAGAACGGCTTTGGTCCATAGTCATCGGCGAGCATGGAGTGGTTGAGTACGAAGAATGGTAGTGATAAGCTGGTGCAAGGGATACCAGCCCACATGTAACGCGACAGCCAAAAGTTCACATGATAAGAGATAAAGTATTGAAGAAGAACTACTACATTGAAACCAATACGACAGCCAGAACTTCGACCAGAGCGCTTATTCATGACCAGACCATCACCACGTACGCAGAAGACCATCAAATCTCTATTCAATTCTGTGGCATGCTTGCTGCCTCAGCCTGGTAAGACCTTGTGTGACACAGTAAGCACCGCCAAGGTCAGAAGTTCACTCAAATTCTCGTCTGCTGCTAAGACGCTGACGGGTAGACAGGCGTTCCGCTGTTCCCGTCCACTGCCCCGAATTCACGAACAGGGTGATTGCAGAGCAGCATTCAGGAGTTTCAAGGGATCGAAGGTCACCGTTACAGAATGTCATTCAACGGTCTTGTACCAGAACTTGTGACTTTGATCGTCACTTACCTACCACTAGAGGATCGACGAGCGACTTTCGAGATACGCGAAGATATCGAGATCTTTCAGGGCGCCAACGAAAAAGTATCTTTTACTGTAGTATTTGCTCCGATGATTATGTGGGCTTCGAGCGTGTGATACGGTCTAATTCTGGAGATCGGCGGGGTGTCCTTGGTGTTCTCAAGACGTCTGTTGTATTGCCTAGCTACACGAGTATCGAATGCGCGCGCTTCGAACGAGAAAAAGACTGACACAAGAACAACGAAGTCTTTACTTGAACTGCGGTCAGGCTTTTCCCCAAGCTTTCCCATCGGCAGTACTTTCCTTTCCACCGCCCCTGACGTTACGATTCGGAGGTATCTACTCGCTCATGAAATACTCGCATTAGACTACGCGAAAGCAGGATAGATGGGAGCAATATGTTGGCAAACGGAAGAATTTGTTTGAACACCGCTACAGAACTTCTGAGTTGAGGATACTACAAGAAGAGTCGGGGTTGCAATTTCTATCTCGAACGACGAAATTGATCGTCGATGCCGAGTAACTTTGATGTATGGCACCGTTAGCAGCAACGATTCTTGCATTAAGAATACCCGATCTTGAAATTTTCGAGTGGTCGATGAATGACAACATGTGTCGGTATCCGGAGTTGCGGTCTTCTGTACAAGGTGACTTTGCTCGTGGTCTCGGGAGCTTGATTATGACCGAACTCCAGCGTCAAACTCGAATACATGCATGGAACGCCTGAGAACGAAAGTTTTCGAAGTGCAGATGTGATTGGCAGCTCAGTTCTCGATCCGTCCAGTAGCAAGCTCCGAGAGTTTTCTCAAACGTGCAATCTGTGCACCATTAAGCTTACAAGCCCGATCTGTATCGAACCCGAGCTTTATACGGACAGACTCAGAGCAGGGAGGATCGGCGCAGAAGCGGCCCCTGCTCCAGAAGATTCAGATAGGTATTTCTCCTGTTTGTCCCGACGTTGGGTGATATCTTGTTCGCAACGCGGATGCGGAAGAAGAATTCGATGATGAGGAAATGCCGGATGATGACGAAATTTTGTCCAAAGCTCGGACGACTTGGCCGATTTCGAATCTCAGAAATCTTTCGAGTTAGACGAGAGCCAGCCCTAGTTTTTCCAATCCTAACATGAGATGAGTCGCAGCGGTCGTCGGCCCTATCGCTGGTCCGATCATGGCTATCACCAGAATTAGAAAAGCTGTTCAAGGCCGCAGCCCGTCACACGGCATACGTGAGAAAATTCTCTGATGGATTTGCTGGGATATAAATGACAGTACAACCATACGACCTTAACTTTCAATTCGTCTCAAGTGGACACATAAGTCGCACAGATCTAGATCAGCATGAATTGCATCGCAGCCGCTTGGTCTGCAGAGGTGGCCACAAGCAAGTCAAGCAAGTCTGGAGCCTGGACTTGGCTTGACTTGAGGCCTCAAAACCGTGGGCTTGACTTGCTTGAGAGGTCCGAGGGGATGGCTTGACTTGCTTGACTCGGCTTGAGCCAAAAGGCCAAAAGTTCAGCCACCTGCGAGAATTGAATTCGCGACCTTGGAGTCTACGATCCCCTTGCTCTACCGCTGAGCTAAGATGGCCAGAGCCATAACAGCTGGACCATTTGTGCCGATGTCTGACCCGGTGTTTTCGGGGCATTTCAATGCTCTCCGAG